ACATTAAAAAATATGTTTTAGCTAATTTTAATTAAAAATAATTTAATTTTATTTCTTTAGGAAGCATTTTTAAAGATTTCGACGCAATGCATGATGGGATTTAACTGCCTTCCCCGCACACCGTCGTTTTAGTTGAGCGGGTAAGGCATAACAGACAAACAAAAAGCTGCTTTTATTGACCCAAATTTAGAATATAATACAAAACGAATGCCCATAATCGAAAGAAGAATATTTGTAATTGATTTTGTAATTAATACTCCAGATTTTCAGTGAGTTTTGGGAAGACACCTTGAAAAGCATTGCTAGTAGGGACTCTATTCATCCACTAGATGGTGCTATCTCTTAAACTTTTTAGGAAATGGCATTCCTCTTGCCATTCATTTCACAACTGTAGTCAATTTATTGTGTGGAAGAACTTCCAGAAGTGATAAATAAATTTGCAAATGAAAGAAAAACATGTAAGAGAACAATCTTTAAATAAGATTGTTGTTATTTTTTTCTTTTCTTATTGTGATCACAAATAACCTTGTAAATTATTATAACACCCAAAAAACACCTCACCACAAAGTGAATGTCTGTGTGACTCTTCTCTGAACTGGTTATTGATTTTGAGATGGCTAAGAATGTTTTTCTTTCAATTCAAGAAGAAAATCTAAAGTGATTTATAAAGCTTTAAAAGAAGAGGATGCAATGAGTTTTCCTCGATTCTAAATGTGATTCTTGAATAAAGCGTCATTTATTCTGTGTATCATGGCTGTTTACGCCAAAGTTTACCTTTGAGACTCAATTCTTTGATAGGGTTTCATTATGTTTTTGTCATGGAAATATTTCTAACAGCTCCAACATAATCCTATTCAACTATTACCAATACTTGTATCTGGTTCAACTGGTTAAAAGATCCACAAACCTTAATGCAACCTATTGGGATTTTATGTAATAAAGCTACAAAACAATGTGCACATTGGTCAACATCGCAAATAATTGTACTTGCAGATTTTTTTGTATGCAAATAAAATATGCAAAGTGTGGTAATCACACTCTGAATCATCTAAATTAATCAATGAAAGTTTCCATTGAAGCTCTGACTGTAATTTTGGGGTTTGGAAGGTGAACTTCTTCCAGTCTGGCCAGTAAAGACAGACATGATGATGCTCTATAAATTAACTACTTCTGGTGGTACAAAAGACTTAATATTCACAGTCTGTTGCAGTATTGACCAGAAGATACGCTTTCTCCTATAATAACAACCTTGAGCCACTGGAAATCCCTCCAACCCAACGGGATCAGGACGCATTTTATCCTCTGTAAACAAAATCAGAAGGTTCAGAGTCAATTTAGGGAGTGTGGACAGAACTACTATGACTTTACATTTATAGTACCTCATCATGTGGGCCAGATTTGTATCCATATTTCTAGAATAAGGTAAGTGGGGCAGTGGTTGAGTGGGCAGTGTGAACATACACTGATGTTCGGTTCCCAACAGCTTCCTCAAGGCACCATCCATCCTGTTACTTATTACATTTTTATTGTGACATTCATAATTATGAACATGTCTTATTTGGTTTGAGCCACAGTGGAGGGGTCAAAAAGTGACATGTGAGTTTGCAGACGTCTGGTTAAGTCAGAATAAAGAAATAAATCTAAAAGAAAATCTGACAGGAGTGACAAAAATGTCTTTACCATCTGAGGCACTTTGGGAAATTTTGCAAAGCAGGCTGGGATAATCCCAAGTCAAGATGTGGCATGTTGAAAGGTGTCTCTACAAGGTATTAGTTTAGGGAAATGCACTCTTATTAAACCAAAACATTGCAGCCAGATTATGTTTCATATCCCTTGTAGTTTCTGTTGATTTCTTCCAGGACTCATGCCTCATTAAAATGTCTGCTTAGGATTTATCTTTGTCTCATTTTTTGTAGTAGTGATTTCAACAATTTTCATATCTGTAGCACCATCTTACACTCAGCCTCTCCTACCAAGGTATCAAACCCTGCCCCTGCCACATGTTAGGAACCATTGAGCAAAGTCAACCCCCAACTAGCGTTTGTGTTTTTCCTGCTCTATTTTTTAGATCTTATCACATTAAGGAAGTACATCTTTATATTTATATTGCAGTTTTCCCTTACAAGACTGTCAGAAAGTGAAGAAAGCTGAAAATATTTACATAACAACAAAGGTTAATGGCAAAGAAATCAATAAAAGAGGATTAAAACTAAATGATTGGTTGTGAAGTAGAAGGTTGTTTCAAAAGAAATGTCTCCCACTGAGTCTGGCCATGATGTAAGGCTGTGAATGTGTAAATCAGGATCTAAAAACTGATTCTTAGTTTCACAGATAACCAAACAGGCATCATGTGGGCCCTTTATTAAACTCCAGTTAAATCCTTGCAGTGGCGTTTCGAGCCACTAGGAGAAATAGTTATTTAATGACTGATTGATGGCAGCAGGTTAAAGGAGAAAATATTGATATTAAAGCTGAATATCATCAGCGTATATATAAGAGGAAACACCATCCCCTTTGTTTGTTAATAATCTGTCCTAAGGGGGATTATCATAATAAAAAAAATCATAATAGCAGATTTAGACGTTACCTTATTTATGGCAACACTAAAAGTGTGATCAGGCAGTTATTGTATGAAATAAACTTTATAGAACCACTCCTGATATTCTACTTCCCAGAAACCAGAGCGCTTCAAATAGTTGTGAACCCGAGCAGACGTGAACACCACGAGAATCAATTTCTACCCCCATGTCAGGATGCCATCAGTTCCCACACATTTTTCTCCAGACATGGTAAAAACAAAGTCTTAGAGCGTTTCATCAACTCAGAGAATGTTGCTTCTTCTGATCTGCAAGGTTTGAACAGAACACAAAGTTCATACCCACATCAATGAGCATCAATCTCTGCTAACTGATTGATCGTCACTATCCAACCTCTACTACCAATATTGTTTTGGTTGTGTTTTCATTTTTCACTTTTGTTGGGTTTTCTTGTTCTGCACTCATCTTCACAATGAACCACACTTCTTTTCTTAGATAGCTGTGTTCTTTATTATGGAACGGTCAGGCATATAGAAAACTTTTCTTCGTCTGGTTCAGTGCTGCCTATATATAAGAACTCGCTCTGACTGCCCCTAGTGGACAACAACAGTACAACATGCACATAAACAGAGTGACAGGATATAGAACATAAAGCTGTACCTTACAAAGTAAATCAGTAAACATGAACACATAACACAAGATAACTTAAAGACAGGTTAAGATGAGAACATATTCCAACACTTTGTTCATTCAACAGCAGCGTTCGTTTCTGACTTTACGGTTGATCAGTCTGTTCTTAGTTGATGTTGGTTTGTTTGATATCCAGAGGAATTTTCTCAAAGTGACCCGAAGGGCAATCCAAAGAAAACACGGTGAAGACAACACTATTTCACAGAGGAAAAAAACCACAGCATTACTGTGTCATGCAAGCCAGATCTGTTGCTTCTTATTCTCAGATTACTTGTTGATTTTTTACGGTTAAATTTAGTGTTTTCTTTCCTTCTCTTCTTCTGGGCCATTGCTCTCCCTCAGTCTGCCTACATGGTCCCCTCTCAGCTGCATCCTGTTACTATTTGCTCCTCTGAATTTACGATCCTCATTCTCTTCCACTCCTTGCCGGATTCTCCTGTTTGCTCAGTTCCCTGCCTGGTTACTTCCTGCGTGTGTTTTTTGTTTTATCTCTGGTTCTTATCGAGATTCTTCAGTATTTTTTTTAATTCATGTTTTGTCATATTCTTTAAATATTCTGCAACACGCCGCCTCAGCCTGGTTTGCTTACTCCATAACGGTGTGTGTGTGTGTGTGAAATAATGGAAAAGTATTATATTTAACATTTGTAGTCATCCAATTTAAACATTTAACTTTTACAAAATGAGGCCAAATTATTAGCCTTTTTTTACTTGGAGACATTGCACTAATCTTTAAATGTACATTTAAAAATCTATAAAGTTTAGAAAGTAAACATTTGGCCACAAAACTTAAAGAAGTACGGTGGAGTTTCAGGTTAATGGTAGCGCTATTCTGTCCTGTCATTTGAATTTTGGTTCCCTCCTTCTTTTCTTGTTCTGAACTGGTGGAGTTTGCATATAACCGGGTGTGGATTCACTCTGTGTGCAACCTTGTAGTCCAAAACAAGAAGCAACAGAAATGGATGAAATTTTATCATAATATTTTATGGCGCTATTGTGAAAATGACAAGAATGACAATAAAAAATATTAGTTTCTTGTTGGAAGACAACATGGTTGCTACTGTATGGCACAGCATTGACAGCATCACAAACACAAATACTGTTCCTGAATAACATAAAAAAATAAATACGTTTCTTCAGGATGTTAGTTTCTTAAAGAAGTCCCTTTTATGACTGTTTCTGGATATTTATTGATGCTCTTGTGGAACAAAATAATAGAGAAAATAATAAAATAAAGTTTTAGACAACATCATCAGCTTTGTTTTTTAGTAATTGAAATGTATCAAGACTATGATGAATCAAAATTATTATTATAAAAAGAAATTTTTCATAATAAATTATGAATAAAGTGGGCTAAGTTAATAAAGTCATCATAACAATAATATTAAATACAGCAGCTCCAATGTCTTATTTGGCGGAAATTACACCATTTTGATTTAATTTAACAATGCTGCTAATAGTCTTTGTACCAAGAATATCAGTGTTTATTTTAATCATAAATAAAAACCTGATTGTTATGCTTCAGGATGCGTCTAGTTTTTCAAACTTTCTCCAGATTTGAAGACAATATATCATTATTGTTGACCATTCTAGGTGTTTGTTTGGTACAGCTTCAGTGAGGAAGTTTTTGTGGCACTAGTTGTCTTTACTAGGATTGTGTTGCAAATTATTCACAAATTTAACCAGACAACTTGAACGACTTCATATTTTCTGAGTGTTTTAAGTGCATGAAAAAAGCAAATAGACAGACAGTGTCGTTCTCAATAAGCAGCTTTGTGACAAGTTCACTAAAAACTAACACTTAGTGAAGGAAATTATCTATAATTATGTGTCTGGCACCGAAGCGATGGGGTGCGGTTCGGGAAGCATTTATTCACATAATATTCATCACATACAAACATTGTGTTGCAAACAATGCTGGGTGGTTGATGTCAAGGTGAACATATTTATTTCATGACTGAAAGATGTAGTTTCTCAGGTTTAAGGTGCTAAAAGTGAGCTCTGTCATTAGCAAATTAGTGAAAGAGTGTTCACCGCTTTATGGTGATTAAATATTGACCTTGGTTTGCTGCTCAGTTTCTGGTGCTGAAGCAACATATAAAAGGCTATAAACCTCGATGCAGTTTTCTTGGGTTTGATTCCTGGTTGCTGTAATTTTCTGCAAGTCTTTCCCTTTTCCACCTTGTTTGTATTATCTGATAGAGGCCACAATGTGCCAAAAAATCGGCAAAAACAATGCTGACCTGATCAGTACATATCCCAGAAAGTCCTAAAGAAGAAAACAGAAGCCGGTCTCATTGTTCTTCAGTAAACAATAAGTTGTGGGACATTCTTTTGCACAAATCTTACAAAATCCACATATTTTCTGGGAATTTGCAGATTAAATTAAATCCTCATTTCATTCAGCCACACAATGTTGATTACATTTCCAAATATCACCTGCAACATTTGTACCTAAAATCTTCATACATTTCACATTTATTTAATCCACCATGAAAGCATGATAGAAACGAGAGTAAATACTCTCTCTGTACATTTTGTTTTCAAAATATGCAACAGTCATCCTCAGAGTTTCAGTTTGTTGATCCCATCTTGTGATCAAGTTCTTTGGTAAAGCTTTATTATCTTTTTGTCGTGAAGCCTCTTCCATAAATTCTTCTCCATAATGTAGTCGTGGTTGCTGTAGAAAATCACGTTGGTTTTCAGGTGCCTCTCAACGTAGTAGCAGGAGTATTTGTTGTAGTCTTCTGTCATGAATCCGTAGGCACTCACCTGAAAAAGAACGTGGCGGAAAGGTGAAGAGTAACAAAATGCAACAAAATGGCATGAAGTAAACGCTGTATAAATAAATAAAGTGCAGTTTGATGGACTTACAGTGTCACAAGCATGCAGAGCTGTGAAGACAGTGAATGCCCCGTTGGTTGGACGAACGATTGCCCAGTATCCTCGATTAAGATTGTTTGATTTTAAAAACCTGTGAGTTAAGGAAAAAGTTGTCATTAAAGCTTTGTCCAAAAGCTTTTAAAAAATATTTTATTAATATATATGCATCAATCAGAACATTATGACTGACTTCTAATCTCCATTATTATACCAATGTTTGGCTAACTTACACAGTGAGAAATTATAGGTGTGGCAGGGTTTGATTTTAACTATATTATTGATGTGAGGTTTGTCAAAACTGGATTGTTTATTCATCAGATTTATTTTATTTAGTCAAAAAGTTATTTCTCCTCACATATTTGGTGCATTATTTACTATAAGTAGAACTGAACATTTTTACTCTTACATATAATTTTAACTTAGATGTTAACTTTCATTCTGATTAAAAAGTTGTGTGTTCACTTCTCTGGACATTCAGGAAACTATTCTACATATTTATTTCCATTATAGTTAAACAAACAACTGAAACTGAAATAAACCTACTCAGAAATGACATTTGAAATAGTTGTCACTTTGCATAAACCAGCTGAAGACATTTGAATAGGATTATGATCAGAGAATCACCTGTTTCGTACGTATCGCAGGAAATCCTGGTGCAGAACATAAAAGCGGCTCTCATTGTACTGGCCTGAATAGTAAGTTCTGGGGCTGCAGAGTAAAAACACAAAAAAAACCATCATGAATAAAAAAAATTGTGAATAGAAAGCTGCTTGTACTTTTGGTTGACACTGTGAGAAACTGAGTAAATCAAAGCGGAAAGACTTGTTCAGTGACTCTGGCACCTTTGTGTTTATTTGCCAAATGAACTGGTCTGATTTAAACTTAGTGGAAAATTTCTGGAGTTTTTTTCAACAGGAAGATAAAAAGACACCAGAACCAGCAACAGAGACAATTTGGACAAATTGCCTTAATGAAACAAAACCTTTCTGCATCAATTCAAGCTAAAGGAGACTCAACATTAAGCTTTTGAGCTTTTTCATTGTTTACTGCAGAATTTTTCAAGGTTTATCTGCATCCTCTATAGATAGAGAACAAATACATGAAACAAAATGTTACTCACTTGTTTTTAGACTCCTTGTCTTCTCTGATCAGAGCCTTGAGCCACTTGTAATCCCTCATCCCTTCGGGAATCATGACGTACTTTATACCCTGTAAAAACAGCAGCTTAATGTTTAATGAACACAATAACGAACACTTTGTGTTGATGTTGTCGCTTCTGTACCTCATCATGTGGAGCTGATTTGTATCCGTACTTCTTGAATCGGTAAAGGGACGAGGAGATGGAGAAAGACGTGTGAACATACACTGATGTTCTGTTCCCCACGTCTTCCTCATAGCCTTCGATCACCGCGCCGTTCATCCTGTCACAAAAAAAAAACACATCAGAGCTTTCAGGTGTTTACTATTGCACAAAAACAGCTGCGATTTTATTTTAAAATATATTGTTTGGTCAAAATGTGAAGTTAAATCAACTCTTGAGCATTTCAAATGTTAAAATGACCCAATAACTGAATGAGTTAAATTAACACCAACTCTGAAAGATGCATTTCACCCAAGTCAGAACTAATGTGTTGTTCTGTGGTATTCACCTCTGTAATTTATGGCCAACTAATTCAACATTTAATAATAATACAAATTTCAAAGAACAGATAAAACTATATTTTAGTACCCTGCAAATAATGTAAGCTCAGAGTTAATTATGTATTTAACCTGAAATGCATTCTGCCATATTTTCCTTTTTTGTTTTTATTTAATTTAATTTTGTTTAAAACTTGTTTTATTGGTGTAATAAAGTGGTACTTGGACAAAAGTAGGAATAGCAGCTGTAGCTCTCCTGCAGCTAAATGTGGATCCTAAACAAACTAAACTAAATCCTCTCAGATTGATGTCTTTGTCAAGGAATCACGGCTTAATAACCACAGATTCAGAAACACTTATCTGCCTTAGTTGAGTGCAAACAGAAAGGCCTCCATTGTCATTGAAGAAGGGACATTGTGTATCTGGCGGTGTCATGAAGTGACGTGTGGAACAAATTCCACTTGCTAAAATAAGCAAAGCACAATTCAGCTGCATTCCTTTTTGCCAGGTTTTTATCTCAGCAACACGTTAACAACCAGTCATACTTGTTCAGACAGTTCTCCTGTATGAACATAGGTTCAAGCCTTATTTTGCTACATCAATCATCTAAAGTGTGGAGCGAAGCTCTTTCACAGTTTCAGTGAGCGATCTGACGGTGTAGTTGTCCTAGCAGATGTCTTAGAATAATCTCACGCATGAATTACATTTTGATCTGAAAAACTGTAAACTTTTTAAATTTTTTTGGCCTAATAATCATTCCCATTTTGTTGATATTTTTGTGCCGTAGCTCCTGCTTGTTATACAACGACTGGTTCTTTTTACATTTTTTATTTACTTCTCTCTGAGATACATTAAGTGGAACGAAAACTCAGCATTTTATTTTACCTGAAGTAAATTGAGATGTTTGGTTACATAAAAATTGTTTTACAAATACAAAACAGTAACACTTAATTAAGACACAAACGTCACATTCTTGTGTTGTTTAAGTTTTGGTTTTCATTTGTGTTTTAACTTCAGTCTGCGCTGAACATAAAAACAACTGGAGCGGTCTGTTTTGATTGTTACTGTACTCTATCATTAAGCCTCAGCCGAAGTAGTATGCTGCTGGGTTTCCTGAATGAGAGATTAACAGACCTCTTTTGATTCCCTGCCATATTTATTTCCCACTGAAGTTGTAAACATGTAGTTCTGACAAAAGACACAAATTCTTGGTCAGGTCAGTTTGCCAGAGACTCAGTCACATGATCAGAATAAGTATTTACATGCACAGTCTTTGGATTATTAATCGGCATAAACCACCCCTCTCGTTACGACTGTAAATTTATTCCAGTTGAGGTGTTTAAATTACACATTTCTATTCTGATCGTCCTTTTATTATTTATGATTTTTGTCCGTGTAATTATTATTATTATTATTGATGAGAAAGACACTTTTAAGGATAAATGAGCATTTGCAATTTTTAGAGTTGCATTTTATCACCATAAATTGTAATGACAGTAATAAAGGGGACGTGGGTCCACAAGAATAGCTTTAGCTGTTCTGATTCTGCAGCACTGGGGAAGCTCTGTCATCCTTTCAATGGAGAGCTTATTTTTCACAATCAGTAAATAAAATATTTAAAATACCTAGTGCACAATCATAAAGCAGCCTGTTTGGTCTGTTCTTTTCTTACCTAAACACGTAGTCGTGCGCATCAATCTCAGCGCCCATTTTGGAGCCGTTCAAGATGCCTGCTGTTCCCACCACAGCACAGCGAATGCAGCCGTCCCCACCTGGTTTTGGGCGGAGCAGCGGTTCTTTGGGCTTTGAGATCAGCTTCAACACTGGCATTACATCTGCAAACACAAACGAACGTAATTCAGGTTGTTTGGTGGTGATTTTTAAAGATACACTCAGTGGCAGCATGTGGGGGTGATGTGCCAATAGATGTCCTTCACTATTGCAGTACAAAGCATCAAATGAAAGATAAGAAAATTAATTAAATTCTGCAATAACAGAACATACTTCACCCAGCAAAATAAAGGCTTAGATTAGCTAAATAAGTTTGAAAAGTATGTTCAAACTTATTCCAATAGTCTTTGTGAAATTACCTCATATTTTTATAAAATTCAAACTAGCTGACAGACTCACAAAGTTCATAGTCTTTCATCTTCTTGAAAAATCAGTTTTAAGTGATTTTATGTGTTTTTTTTTAGCTACATAAAAGTCACTGCAGAGAAAGGAATGAACTTGTTGATTAGTTGGTGCAACAACAATATGTTAAAATCAAGAGGAAGTGTGAAGAAAATGTTTCTCTATCAATCTAAGCAAACCCTTACCTTCATACGCCATTTCCATAAAGCCAAAGGGATTGTTGAAGTGTGAAAGCCGGTTCCACTCTCTCATGTTGATGTTATCTTTATGGAGAAACATGCGAATGTTGGGAAGGAAAGCTTTCTGAAAGTCCTCGTCCTTGGAGTTGTGCAGAGAATGGGCACATTTCTGAAGGTGAGACATTAGTGTATTTTTATTAACTCATGAGATAATGCTAAAAGAAATGTTTTATTTTTAGTCATCTTAGGGAGCATTCATACCAATTCTGTTTAGTTAACTTGAATAAAACTCCAGTTCATTTGCCTACAAACTCCGGTTTGTTTGGGGAGGTGTGAACGTGAAATCGAACTCTGATGTGGACCAAAAAGCAAAGTCTGGCCCGTCTAAAAACCTCAATCTCACTTCAAGTGAACTCTAGTGCAACTTAAATGTATATGAGGGCAATTTCTGTATCTGGAGAGACCAAGTAGCAAACTAAAGTGCTGGGCAATCTGGGGGAAAAAAAAGCAAAACAAACACAAGACTCCAACGTGAGAGGGAGAAATAGCTTGTGGTCTGTTGTCAAATACAAAAGATAAACTCTACAACTTGTAAAATGTGATTCTATTCCATTCTTGTTTACATTTTGTGAAGAAAGTTTAGTTGATGTCTTCTGAGGTTTTTCTGCCGTTTCCTTTAAGAATTCTTGGAGCAGCGCCACCAAAGGCCAGGAGGAGAACAGTTTTTTCAATTAGTTTGGATGGTTGACAGTGCAGTAAAGTGAAATGTAACATTTTAAAATGAGTCTACTGGACTATCAGGTGTGAAAACAACCTGTCAAGCATTTGTTTTTGCAAGAGTCACAGAGGCACACAAAGACAGGTAAGAACAAAGTATATAAGGAGGAAAGTCAACAGAGCCACACCAAAAGCTTACAACAAAAACTTACCAGGCCTGGTAAGCCCTGTTATGATTCTACATTTTAATTTTCCTTCCCTCTTTTGTGTCTCACCAGACTCACCGTAGATCTTGGCGGAGCATCCAAGTTATAAATATCCTCAAATGTCCACTGAGGAAGCTTCTTGAAGTTTCTCTTGTGTATCATTGGAATAGGATATTCAACGCGATATTTATTCATTTGATTCATCTCTAACACTGTCAGTGAATCTCTTGTAGCATTTAACAAGGTCACATTTCCTTCTTTTTGCCACAGTCTTTCATTTTTATAAAAGCTGTTCAGTCCTTTGAAATGTTTTACTGTCGACGTGGCTACCCATCTATATCTAGGTTTGGATAAAATAACAACAACAACAACAAAAATGGTGATCACACAGCACAACACAAAACATATTAGTATAGATACATTACATAAGAAATCATAAAAGTACTTACCTGATGTTACTTGGTAAATATCCCTGAGACATTATGAAAAGAACAATACTGAATAAAATCACTGTCACAAAAGAAAACAGCTTGACTGCTTGACGTGCCATTCCTGCGAAATAAAGACGTGAAAAATGTGGACAAGGATGCACCTGATAAGTCAATGTTTAATAAAGGAGGTCTCACAGGTCAGAAAAGAAAACACGCCTTGTAGATATGACAGATGAGAATTGCCTGCAAGATCTGGAGAGGAATTTGCTCAAAGAAGTCGTACAAAAAAGTAACTGGATGGGGCTGAAATTCTTGAACTTGAATTTACTGCACAGCAGCAGTAAGACAAAACCGAGCCATGTAGTTTTTTATTGACATTTGGTGTTCTTTCAAAAGTCTCAATAGAAACAATACTTCATTGTCATTTATTAGATTGATGGTGCAGAATAACTGCATTTATTCAGGTGTGTGCACGCACATGAATGTTGGATTTAAAGGAACAGGAACCTGCTGCTGTGAGGGCGAGGATGGTAAAACATAGTTTTGCCACAGTGTTTGTAAGAGGGAAACTTAGTACAATTTAGTTTTATTTAGATAGAACTAAACTTTGGCACCTTTTAATGTAACCCAAAGTGCTCAGCAAAAAATAAAAATGATCAGATGGTAAACCTGATTGTAAATCTGATGAGAGATTTGCTTTTGGATAAGTCAACTTGAGTTGTATTGCTCATTTCAGCAACCAGGAAGTCCAAAGTCCTTTATAGTCCTTTTATATCTAAAGTTGTAAACAAACCGTATTTGTTTTAGATGTATGAGAAGATCACAACAGAACATTTAGTCATTCTGTCCTGTCAGAAAAATGGGCATAGGCTTTAGTTTCAACTAACATTTCCAGTTTGAATATCCAATACAACTTTTGTTCTAGCTGGCAGGTTTGCAAACACTCCATTTTATTTTTATTTGTTCTTCTCACAAATCATTTGGTTGAAGGCAGAGAAAAAGAAGGAGTGGCTTTTTAACTCTATGATCAGGGAGTTCATCCGTTGTTAAATTATCCAGTCAAAAATTTAATTATCTCTTATAAGAACATGAAAAACTAGATGATTTTTGATGATAAAATTACGACTCCCACAAAGCTACTTCTGAAGTGTCTACACTAGTTTGTAAAAATAATTTTACAAACTTGTTATATAAACCTGGTAGTACTTAGGAAATAACCATGGTTAAATAAAAACAAAATCGTAATAAATGCTCAAACACATTAAAGTAATGGTTCCACACACTTTAATACAGAGATACGGCTAACAGAGGAAAAAGACACAGCTTTAAAAGTACATATAAAGTTACAAACAAGCAAATATCAGGAGAAACAATTCTGAGCAATCTCTTAAAATTGGATTTAAGATGCTTGACAATTTTCCCAAATCTGGATGTGAATGAAAAGAAATTAAAAATAAATGAAAAAAAATTCCAACAGATATTCAGCGCTGAGATAATTCACACAGCTTTGAAAACATTCAACTGTAACAGTGAAACATTAGTGTGGCCAAAATAACTCACAAACATATTCTTCATCTAACTGCACAGGGCGTCTTCTCTGTCTGTGCTCTTCAAATTTATTTTAAATGTAAGACTATGACTCCTCAAGTGCAGCAGCATAAGGAACTAAAACGTTCTTATCCTCTGACTGCCGAAGGAGGAACAGCTTATCCTGCTCTCTCTCGTCCTTCCTGATAACTCTGCCTGCGAATTACTTTTTAAAGCGACAGTTTTATAGTTATATTTACATTATTGACATTTAACTGGATTACTACTAACCTAAGGACTGGGGGATTTTCTTACTTTTATTTTTATTTTACTTACTTTTCTTTACCTCCAAGTTAAACCAGGGCAAAATGCCTCGACTGACCCCAAGGACATGAGCAGCATTTTACAACGACTTCAGTTTATAGAAATGAAGATCAAACTGCTGGAGGTGAACTTTGAGATCAACGCTGCCTGTGGAAATGAGACGACCCTTCCTCAAATCAACGGAGAGGTCGGGAGCCCTGCACCGAGCAGCTCACCCTGGAACGCTCTGGGTGCCAAGCCGAAACGGGAGTCTGGCACTGTGGATCCGATGAGACGATTATCAGGGAGAACCCCGCACCTGGACGAATCAGGGTGGCCGGCTCTGACCCGAAACCCACCTTCAACTTCAACACCTGCTCCACCAAAGAAAGACAATCAAGCAGCTGCAACCAAAACGCCTCCACCGACCCCGCTCCCAGGGACAAAGCAACCTGCCCGAGCCTCAAAACATTCTGACTCTGTGGGAATCCCACTGAAAAACAGATTTTCTGCACTCCAGCCTGAGCCTCTGAGTGAAACTTCGCCTTCAAATATCAACAGTGACGCAAGACCAACACATCCATCCCCCAAAGCTCCAAAGGACAAAGCGACCACCAGGAAAACTAAAGGTAACCCAAAAGTGCTTATTGTTGGAGATCAGGCAGTGAAGGGAATCAGTGACGTTTGCAATCCAAGGAAAACAAGAGTGATGTATTTTCCTGGTGACACTGTATCTGATTTAACCAACAAACTGCTCTCTCTAACCACTGATCACCCAGATATTCAGACTTTAGTTGTGCATGTTGGAGCCAACGATCTGGCAAAGCAAAAGTCTGAGATTCTGAAAAAGGACTTTAACATTCTTCTGGACACTATGGGAAAACTGAGAATGAAGTTATTTCTCAGTGGTCCAATTCCATCGCCTCAATGGGGAGACGAAAAACACTCCAGGCTGCTCACGATCAACAAATGGCTGATTAAAACATGCTCTACCAGCTCAGTGACCTTCATCGATAACCTCTGGATCTATTGGCAGCGCTTTCACCTTTTTGGAAGAGGAGGACGCAATCTTAATAAACATGGATAAAGCTACTCGCTGCAAACCTTTTTTATTTTATCAACAAGGACAGCAACAGGATCATCGCGTCAGAAGAACAGGCTCAAGGATGTCTGACCAGGATGGAACGCTCCCCGGATCAGGAGCACAATATTCCAAAACAAGCTGATAAATCGACTGGAGATGGAGCGACTGCTTCCCTCGCTCCTTCCCCCCTCCCTCTCTGCTCCTCCAATCATTCACAGGATTCAATGGATACCAATGAAGAAATGTCTTCCGGACCAGAGTTTCTTAAATTTACAGATGGAATGAATCAACAGGTTCGCCTCGGCACGTCTCTCCTTAGCACGTAGCAGACCTCACTACATTTAAGCAACCTGCCCCCTGACTTCCCAGAGGATCCATCACTCTGCGTTTCTGAGGTCTGAGGCTGGGGACCAGATATTATCTTTACACCCGTCTTCCTCCAGAATGCATCTGGCCCCCTGGAAATGCAGAACAGGACATTACCTGTCCGGATCACTACAAGAAAATTTACAAAAAATAGAAATATGAAATACAGCGGTCCTAATTCAAACCTCAGAGTGATCCCCTGCCTAAAGGAACCTCAGACTGAAAATCTTTTGGCCTCCAAGCCACTTAAAGTAGCTCTTTTAAATATCAGATCACTCTGTGCTAAAGCTCTATTAATTAATGATTTCATCACTGAGTATAATGTTGATGTTATGTTTCTGACAGAAACAAGGTTGAATGACGATAATGACCAAATTGTACTAATTGAATCAGCGCCTCCTGACTACAATTTTTAAAGTGAGAACAGAAAACATAAAAAAGGAGGAGGCGTGGCTTCTATATTTAAAAATACCATAAACTGTAGTAAAATCTCTTTCGGTCATTTCACATCTTTTGAGTATCTTGGAATTCAGGTTAAAGGCTTCAAACGAACTTTGACACTAACTTATACAAAACCAGCATATGTGGAAAATTTCTTTACTGACTTGAATGATCTTCTTTCTCTCATATGCATTGATTATGATTGTTTAATAATTGTTGGTGATTTTAACATTCATGTGGACAAACCCGAAACAGAGGAGCAAAAAAGCTCTCTGATATTTTAGAAAATTTTGGTTTAACACAACATGTCAAACAAGCAAACACACTCAAGGACACACACTGGACCTGGTTATCAGTAAGGGTGTGAATATTTCCAATGTCTCTGTAACTGATGTCACCCTGTCGGATCACTTCGCTGTTATCTTTGAAGGTTCTTTATTCTTTGACCCACTTGGACAAACAGCTACTGTCACAAAACGTTCTTTCACAGAAAACACAGCAGAAACATTTAATCAAATCTATTCTTCCTCCTCACCCTTAAACTGTAATGATGTAGATCAGTTGTTAGATGATTTTCAGTCTAAAGTTTCATATATCATTGATTCCATTGCCCAATTAAAGTAAAGGTTTTGACTGGTAGAAAGAAATCTCCATGGAGAAATGCACAAATAGTTCGGTCTGCAAGACAAGTCTGCCGCAGGGCAGAACGACAATGGCGTAAAACTCAACTTCACGTTCATCATGACATCTACAAAGAAAAACTACGTAACTATCACTTAACACTAAAACATGGAAGGGAGGCTTTCTTTGCAGATGTCATAAACAAAAACATCAATAATGCTCGAACTTTATTTGCAACAGTTGACAGGCTCACAAACCCTCCTGTGACGTTTCCACCTGAATTCCAATCTAATGTTACCTGTAATACGTTTTCTGATTTCTTTTCAGAGAAAATCCAAAAAATCAGAGGATTAATCTGCACATCAACTTCAAAGCCAGAACCATTGCTGGACCAAAACAAAACAAATACAGGAAAAAATGACCTACTTTCAACTACTTAATTATAAAACTCTTGAAGAAATTATAAGTCAATGAAGGTCAAGCTCCTGCTGTCTTGATGTCCTTCCCACACATTTCTTTAAGAAAGTCCTGCCTGTTATTGCTACTGATCTGATCCAAATAGTAAACTCATCGCTTACATCAGGTGTTTTCCCCAGGCTTTGAAAACAGCAGTCATCAAACCACTGTTAAAAAAGAACAACCTGGACAAATCACTATTGCAGAATTACAGGCCAATCTCAAACCTCCCATTCATCAGCAAAGTTATTGAAAAAACTGTGTGTAAACAATTAAATAGTTTCCTCATGATGACCAACTGCTTTGACACTTTCCAGTCTGGTTTTCGTGCTCACCACAGCACGGAGACTGCCTCGTAAAAGTATTCAATGATATCCATATAAATACGGACTGTGGGAGAACCACGGTGCTGGTTCTGTTGGACCTCGGTGCAGCTTTTGACACTGTCGACCATGATATATTACTGAATCGACTTGAAAGTTGGGTTGGACTCTCTGGTTCGGTGCTCGACTGGTTTGAATCCTACATAAAGAACAGGGATTTCTTTGTTTCAATTGGAAACTTCTCATCAAAGAGGTCAAAGGTCACATGTGGGGTACCCCAAGGTTCAATCCTAGGACCCCTCTTATTTAATATTTATATTCTCCCACTAGCTCAGGTCATAACAGGAAATAATATTAGCTACCACAACTATGCGGATGACACACAGCTCTACATTACGATGTCACCAGGTGACTCTGAACCCATCCAATCACTGAATAAATGTTTAGAACAGATAAATGTGTGGATGTGCCAAAACTTTCTCCTGCTGAACAAAAATAAAATTGAAGTCATTATTTTTGGACCTAAAGAGGAACGATCTAGAGTCAATGCCCAGCTTCAGTTATTACAACTAAAACCTAGCGATCAGGCCTGAAACCTGGGAGTAGTGATGGACTCGGACTTGAACCTCCAGAGCCACATAAAGACAGTAACAAAATCGGCCTTCTATCACCTGAAGAACATCTCCAGGATTAGAGGACTAATGTCTCAGCCAGATCTAGAGAAACTCATTCATGCGTTTATCTTTAGTCGCATTGATTATTGCAACAGCGTCTTCACAGGCCTGTCCAACAAATCAATCAAACAGCTGCAGCTGATCCAGAATGCTGCTGCTCGCGTTCTCACTAGAACCAGGAAAATAGAGACATAACACCAGTTTTAAAGTCCCTCCACTGGCTCCCTGTAGCTCAAAGAATAGATTTTAAAATACAGTTGTTAGTTTACAAATCACTGAATGGTTCAGCACCACAATACATCAAAGATCTGCTGTTGTTGTATCAACTTTCCAGACCTCTCAGGTCTTCTGGTTCTGGTCTTCTCTGCATCCCCATAACCAGAACCAAAAGAGGAGAAGCAGCTTTCAGCATCTATGCACCAAAAAATAAGAACAAACTTCCAGAAAACTGTAAAACAGTGGAAACCCTGACTTCTTTCAAATCTCAAGTAAAAACCCACCTGTTTAGAGTTGCATTTGAAATGTAATATGTATGAATTTGATTTTGTGGATATGTATGTAATTATTTTTTTTTTCTGTTGTGGGGAACGGGGCCCGGCGAATACCCGTGGTTAAACGGACGGCGGAGTCCAGCGGTAACAGGCGCTTAAATTCCGTGTCAAAGGGAAGGGGGAAGAAAGGGAAAAGAGAGGGAAGAAAAGAAAAAAAAAAACCTTGGTATTTTATTCTATGTTGCATGCCTTTGTGTTTTGTGTTTATGATGTAAAGCACTTTGAAATGCCTTGTAGCTGAAATGTGCTATACAAATAAAATTTGATTGATTGATTGATTCTTAAAGTGCAGCAGTATTAACCTGTTTTTAAAATCGCTGATCAGGACAGTAAATGGTTTGACTTGCTTTCAGGGTGTCAGAGCGGTGGCGGCTTTTCTGTCTCTTCCTGTGGTTTAGTTTTTTGAAAAAGCTTCATTATTTTTCTTTCATGGAAGCTCTTCCACAAATTCTTCTCCATAATGTAGTCGTGGTTGGCGTAGAAAACTACGTTGGTTTTCAGGTACTTTTGAAAGTAGTAGTTGGAGTATTTACTGTAGTCATCAGTCATGAAACCGTACGCACTCACCTGGGGATGACAGAACACTTTATTAAATATTTAGGGAGGAGTAAGCACTCATTCCTATGCGATTGAAAAGCACTGCAGAAACACAACATTGTCCTTGTGAACTAGATGGTTTTATGTTTTGATAACATTCAGATTTCTTAGAAGCAGTGAAACGTTTCTTTCCATGATTATTAATAACCCGAGACGATCAGCACTCATTCCTATGCAATTGAAATGTACTGCAGAAACACACAACATTGTCCATGTGAACTAGATGATAACATTCAGATTCTAATTGTAATCAGATTCAAAAGGTGTGCTCTTAGTTATCAGATTCAGAATCTGACTCTTGAAACCCTGGCTTTCTCAGAAGAACACACCTACAATGACTGCACCTCTTTTCCAAATACTGATACAACATGTATTGTGTCAAAAATAAACCTACTGTGTCACAAACATGCAGAGCCGTGAAAATAGCAAATGCCCCATTGGTTGGTCGGACGATAGCCCAGTAACCCCAATTCAGATTGTCTGATTTTAAAAACCTGGGGACGAAGAAAAAGGGTTGAGAAAAAACACTACAAACTACATGCTAGGGACGATGACATCACGTTGGATACATTTTGATTTAAAGCAGTTAACACCCCAAAAAAATCTTTAAATGTCGTTTAATATGTTGAATATGGACTCCATGGCCAACAAAACAGTTCTAGTTCATCTTATAGAATCTTTAGGTGAGGAAAAGTCATGTTTATTGTAGAAAAGAGAAGTTAATCTACAGGATGTTTGTTTAGAAACACTGACCTGTTTCGTACATATCGCAGAAAGTCCTGGTGCAGGACATAAAACCGGGTCTCATTGTACTGGCCTGAATAGTAGGTCCTGGCGCTGAAGAGCAAAACAATGAAATATAAAACAAAGATAAATGTCTTCTTTTCAAACTTGTCTGGGTTGAAATGGTTTCTAAAGTGACACGATTATAAAAAACTCCTTTTATTCTGCCTTTGTATGTGTTACCTCAGTCTAGGGTTTTAAGAAGAGGATTGCAACAATAAAACCAGGGAACAGATGAAGAGACAAAAACCAAAAGCCAGGATTTCAAGCAGACAAGAAATCGTCTTTCACAGCACACCAAGCTGCCCAATTATATTTTATTCCCTGCCAATTAAGAGGCAGAATGAAACCAGCTGGGCCTGCTTGACCTGCTAGAGCGCCACAACTGCCTGAAATGGGAGGAAAATCCAACATGCAGTCACCACTGCATGTCAGAGTATGTTATCGCAGTGTGACCAAATACCTTGAAGCAAAAAACATTCACAACAGCATATTTATTTTTTCCACAGAATGAACACGTCATTGCACTGAGACACACAATCTTCACCCCTCTGCTCACTCCTGCCAGAAACTGGAGCTCGCTCCGTTTTGTGGGTGTGTTTGTCAGTTGGTAGAGACACGTACTTCATCTTTTGTGTCAAATAAATTCATTATCAGTCAACGTCACGCTACATCCGCACTGCGGACTTCTATCTATTTAAACCCTTTACAGTTGGGCTGATGAAGTCATTTATGACTGTGTGTCTCACAATGCCTCCTGTTCAAACCTGCTGCACTTTGAATTTCTGATGGCTTAGTTTACCAACTGCCTGGCTACAGCTACATGTTAATTTTTCTGCTAATTGTGCCCAAAATAGGAAGAAATTATCATAATTTCTCCTTTGTGTGATAAATATGAATTTGTTTTTTTTTTCTACAAAAATTTAAAGTTTTAGAAAAAAATTATTTCTCACCATGGATTGAGCTCATGATTGTACTGTGAATAAAATTTATAATTTAACTGTGAATTTTCCATTAAAACTATGATCCATCCATGATTGGGTCAATTGACCTATGACCCCTGATCAAACCACAGTCCTTGAAGCAGGAATGCGGATACACAAGTTTTTCACTCCCATGCAAATATGCAGAAAATGTCCCCAATAATAATAATAACAATAATATTAATAATAATGTGTAAAATCTGATGCTTACTTCCTGTTACGATATTCCCCATCAGAGACTCTTTCTCCTTTGATGACGGCGTTGAGCCACTGAAAGTCCCTCAAGCCCTCAGGAATCAGGACGTATTTTATACCCTGTTAGAAGAAAAAGCAAGACAAAGTCATTTTAATTTTTTAATAGAATATTACACAATAACACAATATTACATAAATTGTTGGTTTAATACCTCATCATGAGGAGCAGCCTTGTATCCAAACTTGTGGTAAAAAATAGGGGATGCTGTAATGGAGTGAGCAGTGTGAACATAAACTGATGTTCTGTTTCCGACGTCTTCCTCATAACCGTCAACCACCGCGGCGTTCATCCTGTCACATAAATTATAATTTGAAATTAAATCCACTGGAATACTGTCAGGTTGTCGAAGTCTGACAAAGTCCCAGGTGTTACTGGAAAAAACTGATGGATTGGCTTAAACCAGTCATTTTATTTGCTCATTTTGGTGAGTTGCCCTTTAAAAATGTGACATTTGTTCCTGTTTTATTTTGTGAACTAACACAATACAAGAAACAATATTAAAGTAGGTAATGGAAACTTTTCTTCCTTAGACAAATTTAAACAATTTTTTTTTTTGTTATAAGGCAAGACAGAAAAATAAAAGGACACATTGGTTTATAGTTGCAACAGCAAAACTTCAGTGTTTAGGGTTGTTCTGTTGTTTAGATCCAGAAAGACAAAACTCTTATTTCACCTTTTCATTTTCTGCAGTGAACCAAAAATTTCTGAAACTTTATGAGAACTATAAAACCCCAATATGCGTTGGTAAATTTGCAATCACTGTATTATTAATTTATGTCTATGGTTTCCTCATAAATTAACCAATACTTTTATGATGTGCTCACATTGAGCCAAAGACACTCCTTCTGATTTGACAAAAATAAAACGTGTGGAAATATTAATAGCTTGATAAAAAGGTGCCACCTTGTTGAGGGATAATTACCAGAGTAGCTGAGGTTATATAAGATACTTCGGTTTCAGATTTATTTCATAATCCAGATGTAAGAGTTCATGCTGCTTAATTGCAAAAGGGACTTTGCGTTGCATCCTGCTATGCAATTGTTATATAACTGTAATAGATTCAGCAATTCTGTCTGCTTCAACAGATGTTAATTCTTTTTGTTTTTTCACGTTTTTTTGTAAGTTTTCAACTGTTGTCAAAGATTTTACCAAGTGCTTTGTCAAAGTATTCATATAACCATTTTGTGGCTTTAAATAATTTTAATTGAAACTGTATGTAATAGATCAGATCAAAATAACTCATCATTGTGAAATGGCTGCAAAATGATACAATGAAGCCACTTTGTCTTCACAAATAAAACTCTTAAAACATGTCGTATTTTCAATACCATTTTCTCTGATACCCTTAAATTAAATCTTTAAATCATGTTTACGTTTGGATTTGCCGCCATTTCTCTCTCCCTCAGCCTGCCTCACTGGTCCCTTCTCAGCTGGACCTGGTTACTCACCAGCCAACTGTTTCTAATCAGATAAAAGTTATTAAACTTCATGATTTCCCTTCTCGATTCCTTTGTTCCGCTTCTGTCCCTGGTCCCACGTCCCGTCTTGTCCTTGATTCTTTGCGTTCATGTTTTTGTTTTCCTTGTCATTTTCACCTTCATGTCTCATTTGCAAGTTGTTTCTTTATTTCATTAAGACGATTATTCCTCATATTTTGGCTGCCACAGTTTCACACGTTGACAATACTTTACTTAGTAATCATGAGGAAATGTCTTACCCTGAACTTTCTTTTGAAATATCAGAGTAAAGCATGTGAAATCTACTTTCATGTCACATCTATCATTTTTCTTCAACTGTACAATAATCTGTTTGTTTTGATGTATCACGTGTGATCCATGGTGAGGTTTGTGGTTCTAAGTAAATCGCAGCATCTTGAAAATTTCAAGCAGCATAAATACTTTTGCATATATTTGCTATGCATTCCGTTTTTCTTTGCCTATGTTAGATTAAAAAAAACTCTGTGTCATCTATGCTGTTTTACATAGTTGGTCAAGAATGTGAATAATCTTTGTAAAACAAACATTAATTCTGTATCCCATCCTAGAACTGAAACAGTGTTTTCATTTTGCAGATGTACATCTTACCGTGTCCTCATCTGTACACGGTAAGATGAGTACAGAACAGCTAAACTAAAAAAGAAACACTTTGTCAAGTTATTATTTTACATGTCACCTATAAAGTAATAGGTCACATATTATTCACTTTCAGTAAATCTTTGACGGTGCACCAGACTGTGAAAACCTACACTGTTGTCTCCACCCAGTTTGACCAGACTGTAATTTGCTACAGTCATTGAGCTGCTCAGCAACAGGCTTGTTTTCTTTTGGTTTCCTACCGAAACACGTAGTCGTGAGCATCAATCTCGGCGCCCATCTTTGAGCCGTTCAGGATGCCACCCGTTCCCACCACGGCGCAGTGGACGCAGCCGTCCCCGCCTGGTTTTGGGAGGAGCAGCGGCTCTTTGGGCTTTGGGATCAGCTTCACAACAGGCATTACATCTGAAAACAAAAAAATTTAACAAATTTCAGTTGCAACTTGAACAATTGCTAGCATGCTTTTGTTGTAAATATTAAAATATTTTAGTAGATTGTAACTCAAGACCTTAGATTCTCAATATTTACACTTATTTTCAGTTTTCTTTTACAGAAATTTTGATTTCTACATTGGAAAGATGTAATAATCTAATTGACAGATGTGGGCGAAATACTTTATCATTAAAATTGCAAAACATTTAACAAATCTCTATAAAATGACCATACATTGAATTTTTACACAACATTCACATTTTCTGAGATGTACTAATATCCTAGTAGAAAGATTATAAGTAGCTTTCACTTGCTATGTGAGAAAATACGTACCATCATGCTTCATTTGCATAAAACCAAACGGATTATTAAAATGTGAGAGCCGGTTCCACTCTCTGATGTTGAAGTTGTCTTTGTGCAGAAACATGCGTATGTTGGGAAGGAAAGCTTTCTGGAAGTCCTCGTCCTTGGAGTTACGCAGAGACTGTGGACAAGCCTGAGCAGAGAAAACATCAAGATAAAGCAAGACTAAAACTGAAAATTGTGTGACAATGTGACATTCTGGCACAACATCTCACAACATTGCAATGTCGCAATAAAGTTTTTTTTCATTGATTCATTATGAGTAGAAATTATTCCGGTCCAGCCACCAAGAATAAATCCAGTTCCAAGAAAACATTCCATTCAGGTTATGGCGAAGTTTCCCATCACCTTCTTATGACGTCATTTGATCCTCTCTGGTGCAAAATAAAATAATCTTACACTGATGAGATTCGAGGTAAATAATCTGTCATTAATCTGAGATTTTCTAAAATACGTTTTAGACGTACAACATTTTTGGAATATTATAATAAATTCAAAAGGGGACAGCGTTAAATGCACATTCTGTTATTCTGCAGAATGGTTTGTTTCACAAAGCATCAAATTTTCAACTTTTAACAGTCATTACCACAGGTGACAATGAAATGGCCTATTTTATACTTCATTAAATAATGTCTCGGATGATTTTAAGTATGTATGTTAGTTATAATAACCAGGTATCCTATAGGGCATAGATTTTAGGATCATGTTTGTATTTATGCTTAGTATTAAAGTTTTTTTTTTTTTTTTTACAAAAAGAACCAGTAACATTTTATTGAGGTTTGCTTCTCTAACCCCCAAAAAAGTACAATTTGCTTGAATCAATGAAAATCTTCTTTTAAAAAATCATTTGTAAAATCTTGAATCTGTTACAAAATACAAGGATACTTAATTTTCTTTTTTTTTTTTTTAATTGCTCGCAAAGCGGTAACCTCTCTAAAAGATTTATGACTGCAGCATTCTGCAGATTGATCAGATGACAGCTAAGCACACAAAGATTTAGCACTTGTTGATAAAAGCCACACCAAAGGCAAACAAGTGAACCCAAGCTCAAGCTGTTCTGCTGGCAACCATAAATTAACACTTTGTTATTATCTTAAAATGCTTACCGTAGGTCTGGGTGGAGCATCCAAGTTATAAATATCCTCAAAACTCCACTGAGGAAGCTTCTTGAAAAACTTTTTCAAAATCATAGGAATGGGAATTTCAGAAGAAGTGGATGCAACCGGATCAGATGTCAGTGCTGTTGTATTTGCTGCAGTCAACTCTCCCTTCTTTTGCAATAATTCACCGGTGTGCAGCAGCTTGTCTTCTCCACTTGCTTTGTATGTTCTTGACATAGCTATCCAGTTGTAATTTAAACTTGATGAAATTGAAAGAGATCTTAATTATCACCATTGTGAGCTAATTAAACGTAAAATAGTTTAAATCTCTTGTTATAGAAACTTCAAAAGCACTTACGTTTTTTCTCTTGCTGAGTTTTCCAAGAACAGCATAAAAAAGATAATAGTTGCCGATATCACCAGCACCAAAGACCACAGTTGAACTGATCGACCCATCATCAATGCTGAAAAGTGGAGGATTTTTAATTTTTTTTGCCTCTCAGCTAAACACCAAAGTCGACTTTTGTGAGGTTGCCCTACAGAGTCCTTGTTGAAGTTGGCATGATACGCAGCAGCGTGGAACTGAAATCATGACTTTTAGACCAGCAGAGCAAAAAAAGTCACTCAGACATACTCAGACACCCAGATGAAAATATTACACACACAGGGAGAGAAAAGGGTGGGTAGGACTATATCAGGGTGTGGTGACACTGCCAGGAAAATTTTATAATTTCACAAAGACGAAGCTCAAGGAAAGGAACAAGTAATAAAATAATCCTTTTCTCATGTCAGTTTTCAAAAGCCACCTTGCAGCTTTGTGAAAGATTGTGCATGTATGAAATACAAAATTCAAACGGGGTTTTTGAGAAAACACGAATGCAAATGAAAACTAATGCAAACAGGTAAACGTGCCAGCGGATTGGTCCTGTAGTCAATCATTATTCTCTCTCTCTCTCCCTGTTGATCATCTGCTTCTGATCCTGCAGCCATACGGTACATGTTTATGAAATGGACACACTTATAATTTTGCATTTTCAGGAGCGCTGATTTAAATTTCCTTTTAAACAACAGGTGGCATTATTTCCAAAGTAGCCATCAATTAAAAGCTATAATTAAGGTTTAATGGGTGGCATCTGGACAAATGAGGAATTAAACTAATGAAATTATTATTTATTCTGACTTGCTTTAATTATGTTTCTGAGTGTGTTTTAAGGAGGCACTGAAGGGAGCAGTCCACATGAATGTTTTGAGTTGCAGCCAGTTTCAGCAGATAACAGTTTGGCAAGAAAATCCCATGCCCTCGACACAAAAGACTGTGTGAAACGCATGACATGTTTTTGTTTTGTCATACACGGACAAGTGTTCCAGAAGATATGCTGTGTAATTCTGACTCACGTTGCAGCTGTGTGACCTTTTTCTATTTTGTAGAGCTGCAACATATGTGTAACTAGGAAACACCCTGAAACAAATAAAAAGAGAGGATTCGGCAGAACGTGCTTTCAGAGCGGCAGGAGGTTGTAACAGAAATAAACTTCTCAGGAAATGTTGCTGGTGTACCAATTGCGTGTGATTTTCTGTATTTTTAACATAACTTAGTGATTTGTTTTTATTTTAAATGGTGCAAAGTTGAATGGCAACAAAATTCAGAGTCTTAATTGTTGCGTTTGAGTTTTCTTGTTCTGCACTCATCTTCACAATGAACCACACTTCTTTTCTTAGATAGCTGTGTTCTTTATTGTGGAACGGTCAGGCATATAGAAAACTTTTCTTCATCTGGTTCTTTCTAGAACAGTGCTGCCTATATATAAGAACTCGCTCTCACTGCCCCCAGTGGACAACAACAGTACAACATGCACATAAACAGAGTGACAGGATATAGAACATAAAGCTGTACCTTACAAAGTAAATCAGTAACCATGAACACATAACACAAGATAACTTAAAGACAGGTTAAGATGAGAACATATTCCAACACCCCCCCTTGTTCTCATCTTCTGTACCTTCAAATATTTAGTGTCCAAAAAACCATTCTTTAAATTTCAGCAGTTTTGCTTTTGATGCAAGTTTGGTTAAGATGTCAGCAAACATCTTTTCAGATGCACAGTACACCACATTGATTTTCCCTTCTCTCAGTGCATCGCGTATAAAATGATACTTCACATCAATGTGTTTGGATCTCTGTCTATTCACAGGGTTCTTACACAATGCAATGGCCCCTTGGTTATCACCATAAAGTGTTGTTGTATTTCTTGTTGTATTTCTTGTTATCCATACCATTTAAGAGTTGACTTAAGTATAGACTTTCTTGTGTAGTAGCTGTTAACCCAATGTACTCAGCCTCACATGTGGAAAGAGCCACAGTTGGTTGTTTCTTGGACTTCCAGGAAATGGCTGGACGTTGTGGTGTCAAACTGAAACAATAACCTGTGGTGCTGCGCCTGTCCTCTACAGAGGATGCTCAGTCAGAGTCACTGTAGGCTATAAGGTTCAAGTTTTTATTGTTTTTCTTGAAACTTAGTTCATAGTCACAAGTACCTTTTAGATATCTTAGAACATGTTTAGCATTCACTAAATCCTCTGTCATAGGTTTAGCTAATGTCTGTGAAAGTTTGCTCACGATCCAACTGATGTCTGGTCTGGTACAAGTCATGGCATAAATCAGACTACCTACTATCTCACGATAGTTTGTAGGATTCATTACTTTCGTTTCATCAGACTCATGATTTTTCTTGTGATCAAGTCTTGGTTCGCATGAGGTGGATCTTGGTTTGCAGTCCAACATTCCATATTTTTCCAACATTTTTAGGATGTACTTCTTTTGGCTAATTTTCATTTCATCCTCTTTTTGTTCAAAATGTATGCCTAGAAAATGCGATATTTTGCCTAAATCCTTCATGCTAAACTTTGATTTCATTGTTTCTTTGAAACTGTCCAAAACTTCAATGCTGCTAGCAGCAATGATCAAGTCATCCACCCAGATGAGCACGATAACCGTGTCATTTTCTGTTTGTTTCCTGTACACACAATGATCAACTGGGTTCCTTTCAAAGTTGTTTTGTTCAAGATGATCATTTAGGAGTTTGTACCAATTTCTCCCTGATTGTTTTAATCCATACAGGGATTTCTTTAATTTATACACACATTTCTGTCCTGTTTCTGTCTGCTGTTCAAACCCCTCAGGCTGTTCCAAGTAAATTTCTTCCTCAATTGGTGCATGCAGATAAGCTGTTTTGACATCCATCTGATGTACTTTAAGGTTGTTCTGAACTGCTATCTGCATCAATGCTCGGACTGATGTTATGTTAGCTGTTGGGAGCAAAAGTTTCATGGTAGTCTATACCTTCTGTTTGGCTGTAGCCTTTTGCTACATACCGAGCTTTGAAAATCTCTTTTCCTTCATTTTCTTTGAGTGAATATACCCACTTCCCTCCAACTGTGTTTCTACCCTCTGGTAGGACGCTCAGTTCAAATGTTTCGTTTTCTTTAAGCGAGTCAATTTTGTCCCTCATTGCCAGTCTCCACTTGTCTGCTTGTGGTGATTTCTGAGCATCGCTGAATGTTTGAGGTATACCAAAAATGGCCCTGTAACAATGATCAACAGTTATTTGTGTTGCATCTCTTGTTTTAGGATCTAATTGGTAGTCTTCCAGGTATTTTGGGAGTCTTTTATCTCTTTCTGGATAACGATTGCTTCGCTTTGTTTGAGTTTGATCACCAACAATTTCAGACCCAGTGAGATAGTCTGAAAACTCTGCATTTTGAGTTTCCTGAAGACTAACTTCCTCTTGTTCACTTAGGGTGACATTTTGGGTAACATTTTGGGTTAAGGGTGTTACCTCATGTCTATCTGTCTGCATGAGGTATCTGTGGTCCTGGATCCCTAGATCCCAGGCATCTATCTATCTGTCTGTGTCTGTTGGTCAACACCATTTTCTTTTATGAACTTCACTAGCCTGTGTCTGGAAACTTTTCTGACCTGTGGGTGGTACACCAAATAAGCTGGGCAGTTTTTGCTGTACCCTAAAAACAGTCCCTTTTCCCCTCTTGAGTCTAGTTTCTTGTGGTGGTTGTTGTACGCGTAGCACTCTGATCCAAATACCCACATGTTCGAAAGATTGGGCTTTCTTCCCGTCATCAAGAAATATGGTGTGTTTTTGGTTTTGTTACTATAACATCTGTTGCGAATGTGTGCAGCACACTGAATAGCATATGGCCACAGTTCTTTAGGTAAGCCCTTTTCTGACAACATACACCTTCCCATTTCAAAGAGCGTTCTCCACTGCCTCTCTGCTTTTCCGTTTTGGTGTGGGGAGTACGCAGACGACGTTTCATGTCTAATGCCTTTATCTCTGAGTAGCGTTTGAAAATCATTACATGTGTATTCGGTACCATTGTCTGACCTAAAGCATTTAACATTACCTTAAGGTGCACAGTCTGCCAGAAACTGCTTTGTTGCTTTAGTCACGTCACTTTTGTTTTTTCAGAAAATAGACTGCAATGGATCCTGAGAAGTCATCAGTAAAGGAAATAGTATACCTGTGTCCTTCTAAACCTATAGGGTCAATAGGTCCTGATAGGTCAGTATGAACCAACTCTAGTGGCTTGCTCGTTTTAACATCTGACTCCTTGTTTCTGCTGTTGATAAATTTTCCTTCAGTACAGATGTTACACTCCATTTTACTGTTGTCAGTGACTTTCATTCCCTCTACCACATTTTGTAATTTCATAACATCATCCATGTTACAGTGTCCTAATATTTCATGCCATGTCTTCAAATCGCAAGCTAGCTTCACTTTATCCCTATTCATCATGTCATTTAAGTTTTCCTCAATGCATCCTTCATTATTGCTTTTCATCCTTAGGTAATACAGTTTCTCATGTGCCTCAATAGGGAATACAATACCATCTCTACTCATCAGTTCATTCTTCCCATCTGTGAATGTTACACTGGCTCCATGAGCTGTAGCTGACATCACAGAAAATATGCTCTGTGGGTAGGATGGGATGAGTAAAGCATTTTTCAGAGTAACTTTAACATACCTCCCTTTTGAGTTCAACAGTTCAATCTGTGCATCGCCACGCTTCAGTGCAACGTTGTTCATCTTCTTTCCATCGGCCAGTTCCATGTAGTCTCTACCCGGATCAAAAGTCTTGTCAGTTCTTATGAACAACTCTTCATCAGTGATGATGTGTGATGTGGCTCCACAGTCCACCATTATTCCATTCAGCTTGATGTCGGATAGAAGATTCTGGCTGACTTTGAATACCATGGTCTGGTCCTCCTCATGGTTGTCCTGCATGTCTGAAGTCTGCTTGGCATCATCCTTCCGTTTCGATCTTCTTCTGCATGTCTCGTCACTATGGGTTGTACTTCTGTGGTAGCTGCACCATTTTGACGCGGTCTTTCGGCGGCAGTCTCTCGCCATGTGCCCGCGCTGGCCACAGTTGAAGCAGTTTACTGTCGTCGTGTCCACTTTCATTACATTATATGACTTTGCTTTGCTTTCAAACTTTTCTGTTTCTTCATAGCTTCGAAGTCTGCTCTTAAACTGAGTGAACGTCAAGTCTTCACTGCTTTGTGTTGTGTGAACAACAAAAGGCTTGTATGATTCCGGGAGACCCTTGAGAATCATTGCTATTATTAGTCCGTCACTAATGACTTCTTTTGCATTTCTCAAGAGACTTTATTGCTTTTTCAGCACGTAAAACATAGTCTGTCACAGTTTCGCCAGGTTCTTTTGATAGGGACGTGAGCTATGTGTAAAGGGCGATGATCCTGGACTTACCCTGGCTGGCGTAATGGCCGCGCAATATCTGCAGACCTTTCTTTCCATCGTCGGCGGCATCTCTCATCACCAACGACAGGCTCTTATCATCTAGGACCTGGATTAGTTCCGCGCAACATTCCGCGTTTTTCTCTTCGTCCGGGTCCGCGGTAGAAAGGATGGTGTCTTTTAAGCCCAGCGTTCTTAAGTAAGCTAGGAATTTTGCCTCCCAAAGCTCGTAGTTGTTTTCGTCTCCGTTGAAAATTAGTCTGTCCCATCGTCCTCCCGTGTGGTGCCTGGGCCCATAACCTGTTGCGTTTGATTTTTCTTGTTCTGCACTCATCTTCACAATGAACCACACTTCTTTTCTTAGATAGCTGTGTTCTTTATTGTGGAACGATCAGGCATATAGAAAACTTTTCTTCATCTGGTTCTTTCAGTGCTGCCTATATATAAGAACTCACTCTCACTGCCCCCAGTGGACAACAACAGTACAACATGCACATAAACAGAGAGTGACAGGATATAGAACATAAAGCTGTACCTTACAAAGTAAATCAGTAAACATGAACACATAACACAAGATAACTTAAAGACAGGTTAAGATGAGAACATATTCCAACATTAATTTGAAAGATGAAGGTTGACTTGGGTCTGAGGCGTTGAAAAGGCATCATTATCTGTCGTGTAGAGTTCTTCAGCGTGGGACAGGTGACGTGACATTTCTGATAAATTGGACGTTTTTTGTATATTATTTAAAAATTCAAAGTTATGTCTGGAAATACCCAAGAATCCAGCATAATATGAAGTCACAAAATTATTAAATTAAATCAGAAATAATAATAATAATGCAGTTGCATTTATATTGCACTTTACATGTAAATGTCAGTGTAATAAAATAAAAATAAAACTCATTTAAAATATTATTCATAAATAAATAAATACATTCAGCCAGCAGAAATCTGTTAATTATTTTAAGCGTTCTGCATTTTATTTATTATTTATTTTTGTTAATGGCAGCAGCATTACTAGGCCATCACTTTTGTCCTGAAACATCTGTTAAATATAGAAGCATAAAATGAATGAGCTGTGAATTATAATATGTATTTATTTGTATTTGTATATCTGTATTTATTAATATGTGCCAGTCTTCTTCTCATGTTTGTTTACAGATGTATAACTAAATAATTAATAAGATAACAAAATTTGCCCCTGAAAGAAGTTGTGCCCTAGAAAGACATAGAACAGGTTTATTTAGTTGACCGTATTATTTTCTTTCAAAAGTGATTTAACAAATACACAAACAAAAAAACATAATAACATACAATCAACATTGATTTCACACTCTTCACAATATATTAGCTATTTTCTTCAAAAAATATAGTTCTTTAGTATCTCCTGCTAATTGCAAGCTACATAAATAAAAGGAGGTTCATTAAATATATATATATTTTGTATTTATTGTAATGTTTGTTTTCTTCACAGCATTCGTTTGTTAGAGTGCTTTTGTAAAACTAAAATATTGCTATAGCTGCCACATTGCAAAGGAATGTGACCAACGGAAAATAATTATTACTGCTAAAACAATACTGTATCTATAAATGTAAAAAAATATTCTTCATTTCAACACCTTATATGCCTCAATACAGTCCATTTGTAGGACATTATTCACAATAAATATTTACACAGGTCTTTCTGTGTTCAAATAAGCTTAAGGTTAAAGTACAATCATAAAAATAATAAACACCATCATATTTTTTTTAGATTCTTCTTGACTCCTTGACGCTGAATCAGGGACTGGTTTGTTTTTCTGACCCAGTTCTTTGATACAGCTTCAGTATTTTTTTGTCGTGAAGGCTTTTCCACAGATTTTTCTCCAGAATGAGATCATGGTTGATGTAGAAAGTTACTTCAGTCAAATGCTTCTCCATGTAATAGTTTGAGTATTTACTGTAGTCTTCTGTCATAAATCCATATGCACTCACCTGTGAAGAGCAAAAATAGTATATAGTATGAGTTTTAAATAAATAAATAAATAAATAAAAAGAAATCGCTGAATTTGAATTTTGATACACTTTTAGAGCTTAAGAAAGAGATTGGCTTAATGTGGAGCCAAATAAATTATAATCAAGTTTGTTGATTTAGAAATAGTTATGCGTGCTCAGGATTTAGAACATTTAACAATGTAAAAAGTTCATTTATTTCAGTGACTCATTTAATTTGTCGTGAATGATTTCAAAGCTAAAGGCCTCTTAAAATAATTTCGACATAATTTACAAATACAAATCTGAAAAGTGTGGCACGTGTTTATTATTTAGCGAGCAAACAGTTCGTGGAACCACGCTTTGTTGCTTCAATGCGTTTGATCAATGGCAATTCTCCTGCCATGAGACAGGAGAATTGCCTGCCTCACCTCTAATCTGTTCTCTGCAGTTTCTGATCGCTCCTCAGCACACAAAACATGTTACACACACAGTTGGCGACACAAAAACACTACATTATATACAAGTTCATACATTAAATGTTTTTTTTTAACCATTTTATTGGTAGCGTACAGACAGAAAAATGTCAGTCAGTGCAGTACGCCAGAATTGCTTAAGCTAAATGAAAAGTAGGTACTTTGTAGTACAAACCATAGGGTGAAAATAGCAAGATAAATTATTTTATCATAGTATATTGTTCTTCCATGATGAGAGGGGAGGCTCTGCCTCACCTGCATCCCCTGACTGCACGTCACTGGTTCCCACTTGTTATGGCAACAGATTCATTACCTTGAAGCACTCTTAGAAAAGTAAATCCCTGAATTTAACTAAGAAATCTTTATTAAGAAAAAATGCAAATCCAAAACTGAAGATTCAAAATCACTTTTCTTTTATTGAAAAGAAGTTTCCTTTTCTTCATTTCAATAAAATATGACTGGTCAAAAGCTGCTTTGATCCATGTTGCTGCAGTCTTTAAGTCTGCTTTTTCTAATGCGGCTCAAACAGGAAGTGAGCTTTTCAAAAATAAAAACTGAATTTCAAAATAAAGTTGAACTAAACTAATATCACTTTCACACACTGAGAACAACAAAAACGTAAAAACAAAAAAACAATGCACAAAATATACAGTTTAAATATTCCCTTTTTTTGACTAACTTACCGTGTCACATGTGTGCAGAGCCACAAAGAGAGTAAACGCCCCGTTGGTTGGTCGAACAAATGCCCAGTAATCTCCATTAAGGTCATTTGAACTCAAAAACCTGTTGGCAGTGAAAGGTTAGCCTGATGTCCTGCATAATCTATGCAATTAATTATTATATGGAACCAATTCACAATACAAGTGTCACTTTACAAAACAGAATGACTAAAGTTGATTTAATCCAATAACATAGATTCAAAGTCAGTTATATGTTATTCAGATCTAATTTATCTAATTACAGTTACTTAATATTCTTCATTGAAATGCGTCCTGATTCAAAATGGTGAAATAGTTTTTTCTTCTTTTCAGTCCCGAAAGTCATAATTTAGAAATACTAACTGATCTAATTTGACTGAAAATAGAATCGTTGTTTTAGAGGTAAAAAGAACCAAAAGCATGGTAAAATGTTACAGTTCTTTTTGCCATGACATTTTAGCCTATAGGATTATACTGTCCAGATACTATAATCAGGATAGTATGAGGATCCGATGCTATCCTGGTTTATAGCAGGATGGTATCGGATCTTGGTTCAAACACTGACCTGTTTCGAACGTATCGCAGGAAATCCTGGTGCAGAACGTAGAAACGATCTTCACTGAACTGTCCTGAGTAGTAAGATCTGGGTCTGGATGGAGAAAGAAAGACATTGGTTATTTTGGAAGAAGAAGATGATGAATGTTTGTTCACAAAGACAACAAACCCATAAACTACTCCACATATTTCTTCTAATATTCTATTTGGTGTTTGAACAGTTTAAATTTTTAGCATAAATCCACCAGCTCAGTGTTAGCTGTAACCTCTGCAGAATCATTTCTGATGTGTGTTTGGGATCATAATCCTCCTGGAATTATCAATCCAGTCTAAGTTTTAATCACATATGATTTTAGTAGCAATTTTGCAGATTATTGTCATCATGCAGATGCAAAATTTAAAGCTTAAAGCCAGTAAAAATAGCTGTGGAAAAAATAAAGAGCCCACTCCACTGAAACCCATTGAAAACTTCAAGGTTATTCCACCAAATATTGATTTCTGAACTCTTCCTGAGTTAAAACATCAGTATTGTTGTTTCTAAATGAATATGAATGTATTTCTTTGCATTATTTGAGGTCTGAAAGCACTGTGTCTTTTTTGACTGTGTCTCATTTTCTGCTAATAAATACTACATTTTTCAGATATGCTGTCAGTATTTCATAGAATAAAAAAAACAATGTTCATTTTACTCAAATATCAAAAAAAAAAATAAATCAGATAAACTGATAATTGTAAGAGGTTGTTTTTAATGGTCATTTAATTTTTTTACAGAGCTGCATATGTTGCTGAAAAAGAGATGTGATCATAAAAATTCCTTGTTCCCTTTCTACTAAAATTAGATTGCAATAAGTATAGAAATAATAAACTTCAACATTAAACACGCAAACTGTACTCACTCTTCCTCCATGTATTCACCGGAGGAAACTTTGTCTCCTTTGAGAAGACCCTGCAGCCACTGGAAATCCCTCAAGCCCTCAGGAATCAGGACATACTTTATTCCCTGTAAGGAAGAAGCACTCTGAGACAAATGTTTTGAATCTACTTGTTATTATAGTTTTTGTGTTATTTTAATACTTTGTCATGCGGGGCAGATTTGTATCCATACTCCTGGAATACTAGAAGGGATGTTCTGATTGAATGAGCGGTGTGAACATAAACCGACGTTTTTTTCCCTACGTCTTCCTCGTAGCCGTCGATCACCGCACCATTCACCCTGTCACACAAACAAACAGAAACACAGCTTCAATGTTGTTTTATGCAAATAGGAATAATCAAAGTAACCACAATTTGTAACTGAAACCATCTAAACAATGATTCAAATGAAAACAGAAATGACAAAACATTTCTAGAAGTATTTATTTTTACCACAACTCCTATTTTTAGTCTACACTGCTCGTCAAATCAAATTAAATAAACTTTTTAGTGTTTCTGTTTGAATGTTTAATTAACATAATGCAGAACTTTTATACAACATGTTATCCAAATAAATTTATTTAGTAGCACAGTAAAGTATTTTTTACAAGTATGGAAGCCCTGAATGGCAAAAATGTTCCACAAAGAGAAAAAAAACAACAAACTTTTAAATATTTTTTATCTAGATTGTTTCTCACTCACACATTTCTTTTAAGTCAAAAGAAAAATAAAATGAACTCAGCTTTAGAAAATGGATCTTAAAAAAGTTTTTTTCAAAATAATTGATTTTCTTCCTTGCCTTTCAGGGCTTCCATATAAAGGAAGCATCAGTTAAAGAAGACATAACATTGTTTTATGTCTTGTTGCTGATTAAATAACATGAAATAAACATAAAAGAAACAGTATTATATTATTTGTAAATGTTCCTTGATATTGAGATGCTGTCAGAACAGTTAATGTTGACTAAATTAGAGGCATGTAAGGATTTTAACACAGCAAAATCAACTTTTATTGGTCACGTTTTAAATTTTGGACAGTGTAAATCAAACTTTCCAACACTTGTCTTTCAATGATAATCCTTTGGTATTTTTTGGTTGCTTTTTAAAAATAACTCTAAAGAAGACTCCACCAGCAGGTTTTCTTTCTTTTGTTTTCCTACCGAAACACGTAGTCGTGAGCATCAATCTCGGCGCCCATCTTTGAGCCGTTCAGGATGCCGCCTGTTCCCACCACGGCGCAGTGGATGCAGCCGTCCCCGCCTGGTTTTGGGAGGAGCAGCGGCTCTTTGGGCTTTGGGATCAGCTTCACTGCAGGCATTACATCTGCAAGCAAACATTTACCATGGATGGTTAGAGCTGGCCAATTTGCTCCAGTTGAGCCTACAAGCACTTATTAACTTTGTAGAATTACATCAGTTAATACCCTGCTGCTAAATTTCCTTAGGGTTCCAACCAATTGGTTGTGAGTAACACGTCTATAAAAAGCAGAAGTGAGAACAAAAGTCTTTCTCTTTATTTTCTACCTTCCAAAATGGAATAATATGCAAAACCGATTCTTGGAAAACCCACCTATTTTAAATTCTGGCGTGTAATGAATCGAGATACATTCAGGGAAGAGGAAAAAAATTTGACTTTTTCTCAGTGATGTTAATTTACGCTCTTTTTCCATATCAAAAGTCTGACTTTTCAAAATCAGAATTAAGACTTTAATAATAGAATTTAGACTTTCTATTTTACAAATTCAAACTTTTTTCTAAAAATGCTCACTTTAATCTTTTATCTTGTTGGGGGTTTTTTTTGCTCAGAATTATTACTTTATTTTTTATTTTAATCACTTCAAACTCAAATTTATGCTGTTTGTAAGATAAACCACAGAAAAGGCTTATACTTTTCTGAGGTTTAACCTCAGATGTACCAGCATTAGGTTGATGCTGGTACATCAATCTAATAATAATAATAATAGTAATAAGGTGATTAGTCTAATTAATAATCCATGGTTTCCATAACGAGAAAGACTATTTCCAATTTCCATAATTTAGGGCGTTCATTAATCTTCTCAGGAGTCGATGTTTAGACAAACTTAGCCAGAGCTCAGATTGAGCAAGATAATAAAAGATCGTAGCAGAATGACAGGTTTGCCAAGAATGCAGCAATGTTTTTCGGACAGATAAAACAAAAATGAAGAAAATTACAGCCTTGTGGTTTGCAATATCTGAATGAGCTTTTACTTGTGACCCAAAAAGTGAATCAGCCAACCACGTGTCAGCAATTCAAAGCATCTATGAAGCATCTGTATTAGAGGAAGACGACTTACGAAAGCTCAAGCCAAGCATCTGAACTGGGAAGAGAAGCTTAACGCAAAGCTCAATTTTCTTGAACTTGCCTATCATTAGTCATTAATTAACCATCCTCTAATAACCTCCACACTTTTCAGATTCCCTTTTAGCAAATGTCAGGGGTCTGCAACCTTTATCATCTAAAGAGAAGTTTGGCAAGAAAACAATTTAAATGTCACATTACACTTTTTCTCTTTTACCATATAATACATTTAGATAACTATCTACTCATTTTAAATTCTGAACTGTAACGGTTTGAGATACATTCATGGAAGAGGAATGGTGATACTTAAAAACTGTATTATAATTTGTTATAATTTTACCTCTATTTTTTAGGATTTAAAGTAAAAATAAACATGAAATGTTGCAAGAAGAACATTTTTTTCCTGTGGGATGAAAAATGACAAAAAAAGAAAATCTGAAAAGATATTGCTGGTTCTTTTAGTATCATTCTTTGTGGAAATTCATTGCAAATTGTGCAGGAAAAAAATTAAAAACTGTTAAGAACCTGCATTTATTATCGCAACTATATTTAAAATGTGAGCTGGTTCTTTTTACTTTTCAGCCAAACTTACTGGCTGAAAGTAAGTTTGGTTGAAAACTTACTGTCAGCCACGCTGAAAAGTTTTCAGCCAACTACCAATTATGTAAATGGATCTGCAACCAGTAAATCTGCAACAACTGTGGCAAATTCTCCTACAAATGTTTCTGCCAGCTTGTTGAATATTTACCAGGAAGAATTAAAACAGTTCTGAAGACAAAAAGGGGTCCAATCAGGTACTCACAAGGTGGATGTGAGTACCATCTTACCGTACACCCCATTTACAAGATGGATTTAATGGGGGAAAAAGCCACCTACCTTTGTATTTCATTCCCATAAAACCAAAAGGATTGTTGAAGTGCGAGAGCCGGTTCCACTCTCTAATGTTGATGTTATCTTTGTGCAGAAACATGCGAATGTTGGGAAGGAAAACTTTCTGGAAGTCCTTGTCCTTGGTGTTATGCAGAGACTGCGGACAAGTCTGAGTATGAAAAACAAAGAGTTATGTTTAAAGATAACTCTAAAATTGCTGTTTTTGTCTAGACCACTGGAAATGATTTGATTTTAAGTACCAACTCAGGAGTCAGTAGCTTAGTCAGCTAATGGCAACGTATCCAAAGAGAAAAGCAGACAGAGAACGGATTAACCCAAAAATCAAACATGTCGGCACAGCCAGCAGCAGATCTCTACTCTCTCCAACGTTAACTAATTAGGTTCCTGTTCAGTCTCACAAAAATACTCACTTTTGGTCTTGGTGGAGCATCCAGATTGTATATATCCTCAAAACTCCACTGAGGAAGTTTTTTGAAGGAACTTAAATCCATGATGGGAATAAGATTCTCATTTTTGACGTTTCCCCGGGAGTAAATGCTGGTTTTATTTATTTTCCTTCCAGTTTGTGTTGGCAAACCAAATAATCGACTTGGGTTTCTTATCCTTTGCACAACATCAATCAATGTGTCTTCACCTCGAGGAAGTTTTGTTCTTGAGAAGACTTCCCAACTTGAAGTGAAAAAGAAAAAGAGAGTAGTGACAAAAAGTGATTAGAATAAATAAATAGTTAATAGGCATCAGAGGAATCTAGTGGAAAAACTTACTTTGATTCATCTTCATAATTTTCCCAAGAAAGAATAAAAAGAAAAAAGCTCACTGCCAACACCAGCACCAAAGAAACAAATGGTATTTTTCGCATCGTGAATGAAAATGCTCTACAGAAAAATATGTTTCCCATGAAAAGTCACCTGTGTTTAAAGAGAGAAACTCAGCCTCGCCTTTGTTTGCTCTGCCCTGCTCAGTGGCAGAGCAGGGCTACACCTCTTTTCTGAGAAACGGACAGTCACTCCAAAAACAGACACAGAGTTCACATTCAGCCGTGGAGCATGAATGAAAAGGAAGCGTGTCTGTTCATGTAAATATGACAGTGAAATGTGAGAAATCAAACGACACTGTCTGCGTTAAACAGGCAAATACGTGATTTGAATCTGTTTTTCAGGAGCAAAGAATTGCTTTACATCATGCAAATCCAAGGGTTTGAACAATGGAGAGTGTTGTCGTAATACCAAATAAGCCTCAAGTCTTTTTGCATAACTTTTATTGTATTTCATGGTGATTTTATATGAGCATACTGTGCATACACTTCTGGAACCTTGGAATCAATATTTTATAAAACCACCAGTCATTTCGGGTCTATTTCTATATTTGCACATGTATGGACTGATTAATATGTTTTTTTCTCCTTTGGAAAATAATTCACACTCAGTCCGCTTGGACGGACATAAATAATATTTAATAATAAGACTTGCAACAGGATATGAAACACTTGAGCATGGCACTATGCTTGTGTTGTTTTAGTTTTCAAGTTTTAAAGGATTAATCTCATTAATTTTGTATCTGAAAAATGTTAGGCTGATCACAGCCTATTTTACATTTAAACCTACATCAAGACGTAGGCTTAAATGTTTAAAATCATAGACTTAAACTACATGTATGTAGTTTAACTTTTCCCCCTCTGGAGTGGAATAAGTATCTAATATTCCACTTTAATGATTAAAAGGTTGAAATTATACATAGAGGCAATCATATTTTCATGAATGCAGAGATAAACTACTTAATGATATTAGCTAAATATATGCCAATAAGTTCAAGACAAACATAGTGCTGAATTATACACATATAATCAATGTAGAGGTGTACTGATCAGTCAGTCTAATAATCATTTCTGGGTCAGACTTCTCATATCCGAGTTACTGTATGAATCATTCATGCTTCTATTATGAGACTATAAAACATAATTAAAGGTTAGATTCTTGATCTTTTTTTTTCCAACTTTTGTTTTATACAGAGCTAATGTGGTGATAATGATGTTAAGCAATATAATCATACAATGGAGACCATCCTTACAAAAGAGGCAGGAAGGGAATTTCCCAAAGACTGAGCTCAACTTTAATAACAAAGATTAAATGTGACTTCTGTCTGCTGAGAACAATAACCTTCTCAAAATTACCATGATGTCACAATCATCATACAAGTCCAAGTGAGTGTTAGGCTCACTTGGAGGAAAGAAATTGTGGATGTTGTTTTTAGTGGCTTTTTTTTGTTACAGAATAAAGTTTAAATGTTGGGAATAAAGTGACCATTTGATGTTAAAAATTACCTGAACAAAGAAAAAATGAAACTATGTTGAAGAAAAGCCTGGAAACTGTTGTGGTTGTTTTAGACAGGTGTGGGCTCACCTGTATGTGCTGACTAAGCGAATACTTCCAGACAATGTTTATAAGCTAAATCCTAGTCAGACTGTTCACTTCAGCTCTCCCTGTGGGATCTAATTCATATTTCTGTGGTTTTTAAATCTTTTGAACATTTGGGATACCTTGCTGCCAATAAAAAGTCCAAAAATGGAAAATTATTTGTTTTAGTTGCATGCCCTGTAAGTAGTTGAATAAAACTGTTTAATAATTTCTTTCTGACATATTTGTCCATAAGTTTATTACAGTTATTATAAGGGCTGTGCACTGTAAGCAGTAATCACTAAAGGTAAACTGAGCTGCTAAATATTCTGACCTGCTTGTTCTGTTTCTCAGAAATGGATAACATCTTTTACTTAGAATAGAAACTGTTTCAAAAATATTTTTAGACCTGTCCAGCAAGTGTGGCAGAAGAAGGAAGGGAAGATTTTAAGAAAACGAACAGGAAATTAATGACAGCAGTTTTCCAAGAAGTAGGCTGGACAGACACTGAATTTACACAACAGTTTGGTTTATTATGCAACAATTTCAAAGTTACACTCATAGAATTAATAGAAACAATGCTCCACTGTGATTTTCATAATTATCTGATCAGTGCAGGTGTGTGAGAGAGTTTAATACAAGTTAAAAACAAAAACAATAAGCAGTTGTTGTTGGAACGGACAGCCGTGTTGAATACTGCAAGGAATTTAAGTGAAATATTTGAGGTCCTGAATAAGTCTTTGGAGCAGATCAGGTTGTAGAGGCGTCTCAGATGGAGTAGAGTCTGAGCTGCTCCTCTAAGTCTCCTTCAGACATATCCCCAAATGTCTCCTTGTTGTCTTTCAGCAGCTGGAAAATGGCGGCCAGCTGCTCCCGCTGCACCCTGGGTGAACAGACACAGAATAAAATGTTCATGAAGTTTTCTCCAGGTACATAGTAAATGCACTTTCTTATAAACAGGAGACTCTGCACAAGGATTTCTTTGTATCTGGTCTGGAACATTGGGGCCTAATGCTCCAAAAGCAGAAAGAAATATCAGAATCTATATTTTAAGAAACATGTTTATTATTAATAACTCTTTGGTGCAAAACAGTGATTGAAAATCGATTTATTTACTGCATGTTTGAGATGGAATGGCACTGAAAGCAGCCCTTTAAACCACTCAGACCAACACAACAGAAACACAATCAAAACTGTCAGATGACTAATTACCCGCAATAATAACTCAAAACTTGTCCAAATACTTTCGATGTGTTTTTATTTCTTTCCTAATTACAGAAAGTTTCTGTTTATATCATAGGTTTGTAGTGCCTTTCTATACAATAGAAAAATATATAAAATGTCAAATATTTCACAAGGAGATATTAACATGGAAAAACCTCATATAACCTTGTATTAAGGCAGAAAGTACAGCCGCATAATCGATCAGTAGATTATTGCAAAGGAACGCAAAAGAAAAAAAAAATTCCCACGTCCCCTGCAGGGCTCTGTAGACTCCAGCTCTTTCATAAACTCTTCAACACTTTGTATTTTTTAACCAAAGTTCTTCCTTCCACTAAACTCTCCAATATAAATATTTTTATACAAATTCATTTTCTGGGGAAAATTCATTTTAGGTTCATTAAAAACTATGATCATCAAAAGATGATACATGTGTGCAAAAATATAACATTATTTTGAATTCATTTAATTTATTTTCTGAATTACTGAAATAAAAAGGAACTTTCCAATGTTATTATATTTTTTAAACGCTTCTGCATTTGACTGGATGGCTGCACAAAGCCGCAGTGTTGTGACACTCTAACCCCCTCTTGTGGCAGAACAAAGAAAACCCCAACAAGGGATACAATCAACACCACCTGAGGCACACCTGTGGACCGCACTTCTAATGGAGGAAAACAGGAGGAAGAAGTGGGATCAGATAAGCAACACTGCACTGTCACATCAGTCGCTTCATGGCCACATGAGGATAAAGAGCCGCTGAGGTAAACATCACTGCTGAGGTCAAAATTGGCTAATTGCTAATTGGTGAGTAGTTTTCACCCACTGGCCAGAAAGGGACTCTTTTAGGACAAGTAGGTGAGGATAACTCATACTTTACCACATATATGCTCCTTTTTCAGCTTAACAGACACTTAACGTCTGCGTTGCATTTACTCCTGCAATGATAAGAGCAGGATATGCAGAAATGCTTCAGAAAAAGAAAAAATCCCAACAACTTTGCCGCTTTTTTCAGGCAGAGCTTTCTTTAAATCTCCTCTTATTCGTCTCTCAGACAGCTAATGCTGCTGAGCAGCATTAGCTGTCTCACCTTTACTCTCACCTTTTCTCTCTCGCCCGACTAAAGCTGAGCCCTGATTCAGCAGACAAACGTGCGCCGTCCAGAGTCACACGTGAAGCAGCAAAATGGAAGATGGCAGCAGTTCTGATGTTAGAGGTAATAATAGATCTGACCATATGGACTTTTAATGGAAAGTTTTGTTGTTTTTTTTCTTTGTATTTGATCAAGTTTTATACAGATATGTTTTAGGCTGGGATTATTTTTGCAAGCTCTTTTCACAGATCAGTTATCAGAAAAACTAGTGATGGGCTGTCGAGTCGTACACTCATCAGTACAAAACTCAACCAATATCAAATATTTATTTTATATTTATTTTTATCCACCTTAATCTTGTCAGATGTTGCTATCGGACTGATTGTAGGGGAAACTTTTGATGAAAGACAAGTTACAATGAAACAATTTAGTTTTATATAAGTTGATCTTTTTTTTTCAACTTTTGTTTTATACAGGGCTAACTTACAGGTTAACTTGTGGCTACAGCAGATTTGTGTTGAATCAGAATCAACTTTATTATTAGCAATTTGGCTTTGTTCACAGTTTCTATCCATCCATTATCTTCTGTTTTTCATTCAGATGAGGAATTATACAAACAAGGATAGAAAATATTATAGTGGGAGTTACTATTAAAACTTGCATGTTTGCCTCCATCACTTTGTCAATAAATGATCCAGGGGTGAATATTTTTTGTGGTTGGTCCAAGAGGAATAGCCTTCTGAAAACGACTGAAAAGGAGCGTGAGCTATGATGTTCAGCATCAGCAATAAAGAGTACAGCAGTGTTTGTACAACTTTTATAAATGGATCACATCCAACAGTTGCTCACTAAACACCTGGTCTCACCTGCATGACTGAAAAGACCAACCTGGTCCCGCAAACACGAAGAGCCAGTGTATGTGTCTCTCCAGACAATAACACCAGAACACAACACCGGTGTGAGGCGATTAAAGATATACCCAACCTCATTATAGAAAACATGACAAACTGTATAACCATGTCATAAAAAACTCTGGAGCGCCACAAGAGTTTTAAGCATCTTTATAGCTGCTTTGTATTGACAGAGTTGGAGAAGCTGCTAAAGGTGAGCTTATGCTTAGACGCTAATGTTCATCATAAAAGACTATTTCTTCGGCTCAACCTTCCAATCTTTCAAAGATGAAGGTACAGCTGTGATTACATCATCCTGTTTAAGATGTAGAAGTTCAGGGTCCCACATGTCTTATCTGTATTTGATCTGTTTGCTTAAATCAAGAGTAAGCAACGCCAGTCCTTGACTGCCACTGTCCTGCTACTTTTGGTAGAATCCCAGGTCCAACGTAATACAATGAAAAGCCTAATATAAATCCTTAACATGCCTGCTAGTTTTACAAAGAGATGCTCATTAACTATTTATTTGGTTCAGATGTACTGGAGCAGGAATTACAGGACAATGGCACTTGAGGACTGGAGCTGCAGACCTCTGGTTTACATGTAATCAGGCTGTTTACCCACAAAGCATCATGGGTCATATAAGAAAAGTGAACCAATGGTGTAAATTCTTCTAAAAGATTTTCCGGTTTGTGTTTTTCACTAACCTCTGCTCCTCTGCCAACTCTTCTTTGGACATCATCACCTCTAAATGGTGCGATCGTGCCTTTCCAGGAACATATTTCAAGGAATTATTTGCATCCGATTCCACTTTCGCTGTTCAAACACAAAACAAGAGTACATGCTGATGAAAAGGAAATAAATCCTGCCTGCCTGTTTGGTAACATTAAAATGAGAATGTAGCAAGAATTTCGGGTGAAAATGCTTACCGTTGCCCTCTGGGCTCTCTGTGGCTCCTTCAGTCTGGGGATAAGAGAAAGCACACTTTAGGAGCTCCGTATCAGAGAGCCCAATGAAAGACCTGCGGCCCATCGCTGACGAGACCTCAGACGACGAGTCTACCTCTAAACTGGGGACAGAAAGGCTCGATGTGGAGGAAGAGGACTCGACTGCTGCACCGCCTTCTGCGTGAAAGTGAGGGTGTCCCTGTTCCTGTCAGAGAATTATTAAGTCATTACCTCTTAAATTCATCAGATAGTGACTTTTTGCTTGTTGTTTACATCTGATCCAGGTGACTAAGTTCCCAAAGGCTCTTAACGTATGCAAGTTGTTTCACTGGGAGCTTCAGGTGACATTTTGCGACTATTTATGAACGGTAAGCAGAAATCAGAGACGGCCTCTGTGGAAATTAAGGTATCCCCACAGCTGTTACCTTTCTAAACAAAGACAAAACTAAATAACCTTTCGATTGTACTGTCTGTTGCACAGTTCTTTCCACAACTTGCAGGTTCAATACTGCCTATTCTTCACATCCATATCAATCATTTGATTTTCTGAAATTATACCAACAGTTTTTAATCTGAGATGCTTGGAACTGTTGTTTTTTGCTGCAAAAATTATTTAGAATAAAAATGTTTTCCATGTAGTTCCTTTGGATGCTGTGGATTGCAGAAAATAACACTTGAACCAATATTATCTAATTATTACTTCAGCCTGATAGAAATAATTAGGAGGGCGGTTTGTTCAAATCCAGCTTCCTTCCCGATCGCACAAGTGTATGACTGGGACTGACTGAATACAGTTTTAGTGTGGAGCACTTTGATTGGCCAGCACGGCTAGAAAACACTACACAAATTCAGTTCATATATTTATCAATGTTGAGTCTTCTATGAATATGTGCACATTAATAAAAACATGTGACCCTTCTGAAAAGTGTGTCCATACTGTATATCCCCTCAGCACTTGGTCAGGACTCCTTTTGGATGACCGAATGCATTTTTGCAGTGAAGCAGCATGGAGGCTATGAAAGTCTTCCGGTGCACTAAAGAGCCAGGTTGCTTATAGTGATCTTCAGCTTGTGTGCATTGGTAGCTCTTGTGCCTTTCATCCCTCTCAGCAGATTATCTGAGGAGTTTAGGTCAGGGAGTTTGTTGACCCATCAGCCATGGTTACAACATGGTCATTGTGGTACTTTTGGCACTGTGGGCAGGTGGAAAACAAATCTTCATAAAGCTTGCCAGCAGAGGGAACGACAGCAGTACTGACAGATGAAATGGTCCTGCAAATCATCACAGCTTGTGGAAGCTTCATTGGGCCTCAAGCAACTAGGATGCTAAAACTCTCCACTATTTTGCAATAATATTCTAATGTGCATCAATTCATAGCTCTGAAGTTAACCTTTATTTGTGGCTCTTTTAAAGTACCCCAGAGCTCCTCCATTCAGATACTATCTGAATATTTAAAACAGATTAAGGGAGAATTACGCAAAGACACCAAAGCAAACAAAACACTTTGCCAGACCTACTCACAGATTTCACTACATCCCAGTGGTCGTGTGAGCTCCCACTGATCTCACTCCAGTTGTCTTCCTTCCTCCCCTGCCCGTCCACATGGCCGTTCAGCTTCGCCTCGGACTTGGCTGATCCTCCGTCTCCTCTCTGGCCGAAGTAACTGCGCGCATTCGCGAAGTCCGCCGCGGGCGACGCGCTTTTGAGCAGCGACGTCGCGACCACCATGGCGAGCAGCGTGAAAATGATAGCGGCCAATACGAGAGTCGCTTCCATTCTTGTGATTCCTGCAGCGTCGCCGCCCCGGCGTCCACTCACTCGGCCATCCCGCTTAACCCCCCGCCGTCAAACATCAACGCCAATCGCCGCAGTTTATCGGACACGGGACAATCTCCCAATCTCCTCTCCAACCAGAACGTCACATCCTCCGCTTACGGCCCCCGCTACTAACCCCGCCCTCTCCGCCGTTGGACCCGGGGGTGGGGCCGAGCACGAAGCGGTGCAACGTGCTCGGCTCTGCGTCTGCGGATAATCCCATCAGCAGGACAAACTGGCGGACCCAAATGGTTTCTGACAGAACCCGTGTACTGAAGGTGTAGGCTGATAAAGTAAAGCTGTCAGCTGAAGGCAAAACAGTCTTACCTTCCAGTCAACACCTGCAGTTAAAGGAGGATACCGGGAAAAACACCATCAGGGTTGATATCATGATTGGGCTTCTTGCATTAATGTGCTGCTGAAACAGCTTTTACCCGTTGTCTTTTTGAGGTGCTGCAACTATTAAATTTTGTGAGTTCTTGTACCTCGATGGACCGGATTTGATTGCCCAGTTCATCCCAGAGGCTCTGATTGGATTGAGATGTGGGGGAGTTGGAGGTCAAGTCAACACCTTGAACATGTTGTTGTGCTTCCTCACAAAAAAAAAATAAAATAAAAAAATAAGAAAAACAATACCAAAAAACCTTCCCTTATGGTGGAGTACACAGTCCGGATGCAAGAGGCAACAGTCCTTAGGCCTACTCAACAGGTTGACGGAAATCTGGGAAAACAATCAAATTTTGTCTATTGTTTTCACAACAATGCATCTTTTTATGCAGGTAAATTTATTATTTTAAAAGTTAACATATTTTTTTATGATTTTAGTTTTCTATAAAATTAATGTTTTGTTGTAACTAGAGTATTTTTTTAATTGACAATGAAAACTGTGGACACCACTGGCTTCCTTTTTGACTCAATGCTCTCAGGTTTGATCATTTTAACAAAAGCTGCATCAAATCTAACCAAGTGAAATTCAGGTTAGATTGGGTGCAATTGTAGCTTGTAAATTTAGAAGCCACAAAAATTAATTTCTTAAGAGAACAGGCAGAATTTTAAAAACAATCTTCAACTCTGGTTTGTGAGACAAAAAATAAAATCCAGATAAACTGAAAAGTAAATGCAGGACTAAGACTTCCCCTAATAAGTGAGATGGTTTATTATTTTACAACTCAGTGAACACTGCAAGCAGTAAGGCAGTGATATCCACAGCTTCCTTTCATGAGTAAATAAATGGTTGGCAACAGTGGTGTTCATTGCTGATTAACGAACAGTTGAACTCTGTCATGGAAGAAAACGTGTAGTTTTCCTGAGGAAGTCAGTGATGACGTACTTTCCCTGACTTTAAATTCCAGATCTGTGCATTTCTCTTTAAGTTAGATGGAAGACTTAATGCATTTTTGCATTGTTTTTTTCCAGCAATTTTTTTTAAATAAAAAAAAATGCAATCAGTGTTCATTCAGAATTTGTTTGAAAATCCTGAATTGCTGCAATCATAAGAGAAGCAGAGACCACCAGTCTTTCTGCTGAGGTGTCAAGAAAGTCCAACTTCCTTTATTGCAACCTTCAGCAGAATTGGGTTTGGAGTCTCATCTTCACAATTTTTTGTGAGACTGAATTTGGAGGCCAGTCAAGCAGATGCTGTGGTGCTAAAATCTGGCAGCTTGTCATCAGAGGACAGCGTGGAGAATTTCAACTTTCAGATGGATGTGCTGACTCAAAAGTAACGTTTTGTAGACCTGCACTGATTTTGGACTTCAGAAAACACAAATGAGCAACACATCAGATTTCAACCGTCTTGGATACTCTTCTCTTGAGAAGAGTGCAATTCTAGGAAAAATTGTTCTATATTTAAGTCTTCTGGACATTGCAGATCACAATCATTCATATTTAACATGCTACACTGAAAGACATTGAGGACAAAGTTAGACATTGAATTCCAACAAAAACCTTTATTAGCATTCATTTGATGCAGTTACAGGACATTTGAGGTACACAGAAGAATGCGATTCAAAAGATTTCATAAGAAGCCATTAACTGCCTCTTAACCATTCTCTCAGTGTCCCACTGGGCTAGTTTTTCAAAGCAAGCAAGACCAATTCAGTGGATAAACCACAGAAAGAAGGTTGATGCTGGGACACAGAAGAGAAGGAAGGGTAAAGAGGATAGAAGACAATATGTACAGCACATGTAGGGAAGTAGAGGTCACAGACAGGAGAGGATGGATGATCTGCCACACCTGTGAGCTTACAAACCGGCAAACGGCAGCGAAGGGTCGAGCCCCGGAACTGCACCGGGCACTCAGCACCGCAACACGCCACACCATGTCACCACCGCACTGCACCGCATCTTAACAGCTAACCAGCATTACTCAACTGCTACACAACTGCGCCTAGTGCACAAAAGATACACAAGAAAGAGTGTTAGAGTCATAGGAAAGAAACTTGAACTAGACAGAAAAAAGCAGAAACAAAATCTTGCTGGATTAAGCAAATAACAAATTTAAATGGCTTTTATGTCACTGTACACTAAGCCATTTCCCTCCCCCAGTATGAGTGGCAATACAGCTGTAAATACTGCAAACAAAGAGACATCATTTCCTACATCAACTTTTCAAATAAGTTTCATCTTCAAAAATTTAACAGAGCCTGCTGAAAATTATATTTTGTTTCAGAGGAATTTATTACTTACAAATTCAATGAAAAAGCCCACCCCAAAAACGGTAAATTAAAAAAATATCCCATAAATCCCCTTCAATATACTCAGCTTTACAAATGATGTCAAAGTTACAGAATTTGTCTCAACAGATTACAAAGGAACTTAAACATTTAAAACATTTTAGACCAATATCCAATTAACCTTTCAGTCTGCATTCAGTGGCAATAGTGGAGTATTCTTGCCAAAAAGTGAGGCTGTCCGGATGTCCTCAAAGGCTCAATGCAAGATCTGGAAGGAAAAACAGAACTTAAGTCACCAAGAGCAAAAATAGACACTGGTATCAATTCCTGCAGCTTATCTGAATATTTACTGCATGATTTCTGTCCTGACAGTTAAGAAATCTGAAGTAAACATTTTTCTCAATAACTCACTTCCTTATTTTACATGTTTCCTGGCCCCAATTCTTCCCACTCTAGCTCTAACAAGGGTCTTGCACCCGGGCATATTGGGAAAAACAAACCTCGGGGTCGGCTCCCTTTATGTGAGGCGGCGGAAACCACAGGCACAGGTGGGTAAACTGCTCAGTGCATCTGCCTGTGTGCCCCGCGAGAACGTACCTCACCACACCACCTCATACACCAATTGACAGCCCGAACCACCGCCATGACGACCTGCTTCATAGCAACCACCGTTGCCTCGGTGACCTGCTCCTTAGCAACTGCAATGGCTCTCAGCAACAGGCAGGTCACATGGGCGGGTCACACACTAACTGCTCTCACACTGCAACACCCCCATCTCCTCCTCCTCTCTTTGCAAACAGGACTCAGCAGCTTGGAGGAAAGAATTCCACATTTAGGTGAACGGTTTTGAGTAAGCATCCCACATCCCAACCACCCGCCTCCCACCCCAAACACATCAATACAAATGTGAGCACCCCATTTTTATCATGATGCTTTTAAAACCACATTTCCTACTGCCTGTGTGCGCTTTAATTTGACCGGAAAAATGTTTCAAAATAAAGCACACACAAAGCTGATACTAGACATGTAACAAAGTTCTAACAACATTCTGCAGACTTTGCCACTTGCATGAAGCGTAAAGACTGCAGAACACAAATTTAAGAAATAAACATTTCAATAGATAAAGAATAAAGTAAATCAACCCTTCCCCTGAATACCGTCATATTGCGTCCACATTTGGGTTAAGGCTCTGCTTCGTTGTTTCCTGGTGATTTAGGTCCACTCTTGGACTTAGACCTGGATCGGGACTTTGACCCCCTGTTGGAACCCGGGGTTCGACTCCTCGACTTGGACTTGGACCTGGAACGGGATTTGGATCTGGAGCGAGACCGAGATCTGGAAGGAGACTTTGACTTGCTCCGCCTTGGCGTTCTGGACTTGGATTTGGACTTCGACTTGGATCTTGATCTGGACCTGGAGTAGGAACGAGACCTGGAGCGGCTGTAACGGTTACGGCTCCTGGATCGGGAACGGCTTCTGCTCCTGGAGCGGCTGCGGCTTCGTCTGCGACGGCGGGGACTGGCTGAGCGACTGTAGACACACACAAAACCACAAGGCATAAAAAAAGTTAAACCGAATAGCAACAGGAAAGCAGCAATGCTGCAATCTGGCAGCTACACCTTTTGTTTGATATTACAATGATACATCTAGCTTTGAGTGTACATTTTTGTTCTGTGTCCTGAGACAAATATCAATGCATTTGTTTAATTATATACATCTTTTCTTACCTAACCACATACTAACTAAAATACTGTCAAGTAGGATTTTCAATCCTACTTATGTTTATTTCCTGAAGCCAAAACATTTCTGCAGAATTTATAGCCATTACTCTACATATGTGGGAATATTATGTCAGGTATAAATAATATAATTAGTTTCATAAAGGTTTATCTGCATATTTTAACCACTGCATGAACCAAGAGTCGGTGGGGAAGAATATAAAAAGGAAAATTTAACTTTAAAACCTAGTATCCCAATATAATGTAAAATAATTTAAAAATACCTTCTTGATATTGTTTTTAATGAACCTACGAAAAAAATACTTGGACTACGCTGCTTTTGGGCTCTGTGACCACGTGCTCATTGGAGCACATGTTCAAAAAAAATTAACTACACTACTCTCAAAATTACCTCCTGCTTCTTCGTCCGTAGCCTCCGTACCTGCGCGGTGGAGCACCTCTCCGGCTATACATCGAGTCCGGCGGCCGTCCGTAGCGGGCCATCTGAACCCGCAGCTCGCGCCCGTCGAGCAGCGCGCCATCCATGGCGTCCATTGCGTCTTCAGCGTCGCGCTTGTCGAGGAAACGCACGAAGGCGAAACCGCGGCTCTCTTTGGTGTACCGGTCCCGGGGAATGTACACGTCCCCCACCCGACCATACTTCTCAAAAACTCGTCGGAGAGTCTCGGGAGAAGTTCTGTAAGTCAGGTTGTCCACTTTGAGGGAGGTCATCCCTTCGACGTCTGGCGGCGGCCTACCGTAACTCATTTTTTCTTGGTCGTTTCCAAGCACGGAGCTAGGCTGCTAAGACTGAAACTGCGAGGCCTCTAAAGCCTAATAAAAATATCTCTGACTTCAAAATGACAAGAAGTTTAACCTCCGTCAACTCAATCTAAGTTGATTTGTATGAAAATACAACCGCTCGGTAGTAGTCTAACCGCGCTGCTTTTCACGTGAAATGGCGGCAGCACAGCTTCCTTTTCCTTTTTTCTTTGCGCCCGTGTTGGCCTCCTCTGATTGGCTGTTTAGCTGTCCGCCTCTTTCTGTGTAATTACTACACTGCCCCCTGTTGACTAGGAGTTCATAACATCAACTGTAGAAGTGTACCAATTTTTTTAGCCCTTTTTAGATTTTCTTGTGTATCCTTTCTTATCCTGTTACTTTATTATTATTTAGTTTGAATGACTACAGAACTACAATGATATTTCATTCCCTGTGCTTCCTATTTTATACTTAAATAAAAGAACTCAAGCCTTTTACTTATGGCTACCAATTGTAGTAAAGTAGGTTTAACTATGGTGAATGATGAATGATGTTTCAATGAATGTTTATAAGTTTAGATGTCCTACTTACATAAACTTATTTACTTTTAGGGTTCCATTTGTCTGATCTTAAAGGGTTTCCCCGTATAGAAGAAATGACCCAGTGAGTTTTGGTTTTTATTGATTTTTGTGAACTTACACTAATAGTCCACTTGGTGACAGTATAGGAATTAGTATTCTGGATTCCAATTAAGTGGTTTACATGCAAAGAAATGATTATCGCACTCAGATCCAAGATAACGGTTTTAGATTATCTGTCCACTGTAGCAACCTCAAGTCATTAAGGAATTAATTAATTAATTAATTAATTAATTATTCAAATACACTTAAAATGTTAAATATTCAAGGTGTTACCTTCACACAGAAAGATCAAGCGTCTGCATATATCCAAATAATTGAAAAACTGCATCTAACTTAATTTGGTTTGCATTTTACAGGCGTGTTTAGGGGGGCGAGAATGTTGGGAGGTTGGCCACTCCAGAATCAGAGCTCTCAGAAGTATTCTCAGAAGCTCCTCTTTTGATTGTTTGTTTTGTTTTTCAGCTCTTATAAAATGCTGCCAGAAGCTGGACAGTTACTCAGTGGTTCTAGGCCAGAATAGAACCCCAAAATGTACTGTGAAGAGGAATTTGACACCAGACCCAACAATGCTGACAAGCTGAAGGACACTGCAAAAGCACCCTGGGATAATCATCTCCATGCAATGCCCTATTGATGCTGCACTTGTTTCAAACACTGTGGATGTATTGAGTGAATATACTGTATATTACATGGAAATGTCCATGTTTTATTCATCTATAACGATCACACTATGTTACATTTAACATTTTCAGTAAAGACCTTCATATCTTTAACAGTGCTCAGATCATAAACTACATGTAATGTCCTAAAATGAAAGTAACGCCTAACTCTCAAGAGCTATAATCCTGCAATCTTTAGATGCATCCCTTCTAATTCAAATAAATTGTTCATTACTTGGTGTCAGTGGCGCTTAGTGACGTGCTGATGAGGGATTTCACTCATTTGATTCAGGTGTGTTGGAGCAGGCAGGACAACATCCAGAATAATACTCAGAGTACCCCCTAATATATTCTGCATACAGCCCACTTAATTGCTCTCTTTTGGATTGACTTAAAGTTTCAACAACCACTCAGTAATTCATTTGAATTAATTTTAACCTTTGGTGTTTTTCAAGTGAAAATTATTATCTTTTTTTGTTACCTCTCAAAGCGACGTTGCCACTCAAAACATGGTGGACGCGCTGACGTATCGTTACTAACCAGCTAACCCGTGTTAGCCGCCTCCCTCTGGTGCTTTACTGCTTGTGACCGTTACATTGCCCTCTGTTGAACAGGAGTCCACAACCGTATATCTCTATTTGTGCCTTTGTTTTACTTAGCTAGATAAAAGCGATCGAGATCATCGTCCACCTGCGGCTCAGGAGGTCTTCTGTTTTCATAAACTACATCTATTTGATCGACTTTTATTTCATTGTTTGACAAATCTAAGCGCTTCGAATTATCTGATTGTTCCTGTTTTAAGATCAGATGGCTTAAATTAAAGAGCTTTAAACGTATCTCATCTGGTTTTAGGCACGGAGCCACCTACTGCAGTGCAGCAGGCGTTAGCCGCTAGCTGCTGCTAGAGAGAAAGGGGGGACTGCGCAAAAAAAAAAAAAAAAAGAAAAAAATCCACGGTCAGGATTTGTGCCTGCGTGACGTCATGGGGATCCACAGGGCTCTCTGACAGGATCCAGCAACGCCAAGCACCGATGGAAGAAGTGTGTGTGTGTTTGGGGGGGAGGATACATGATCATCATCGTTCAGCCGGGCCGGAGGTGCCGAAGAGCGACCGTTTGCCACACACTGTCCGGTGAAGAAGCGATCCAGGCTCGGAGGTTTTGGCTGTGGTCCACCATGAGAGCGCTTCCCATCTGTTAAAGCGACTGCTGCCTCTATTTCTTTCATTATTATTTTTGTTAGAGAGAGAGAGAGGACGGATAAGCAGCCAGACAACAACTATACTAATCCCCGGGACGGTCACATTCACGGCGGAGGCTCGGAGCCGACAGAAATGCACAGGGGCCGCACGCACCGGATTAAATGATAGCGAATAAAGAGCCGCAGCGCACAAAGCGACCCTGAAAGTGTTATGCCCGTTCGGCCGTGCGGTCTTTACTTGGCTGGAAATGGGAGCTTTAACAAGCAGACAGAACATAGGCGTGGAAGAAGTGGACATTCCGTCCAATTCGGTGTATCGTTATCCGCCGAAATCTGGTAAGTCAACAACAGGTCGGCCTGGGGTGGGTTGCTGCTCCAAAGATCACTGCAGACGCTTTATTCTGAGCTCCATCAATGAACCTGGTTTACTAACGGGCCTGCAGAGCAGCTCCTAAACCATCTCCTCTCACAATTAATGCTGCAGTTTGAGTTAAATTAATCGTAGGACTTAAATTGATTATTCTAGCTTATTTCTAGAAGAACAAGATTAAGATTTCGGCTAGACAAATAAACTATCCTTTTCCACTTTTTTCTAGCAGTGGCGTCACCATGGGGTGGGCAAAGGGGGGCGATGGCCACTCATATAAATTGGATTCCACCCTTGTCAGATGATTGCATATGCATAAATGTAATATATACATTTTTGAGAATCTTTGATAATTTGCAACATTAATTATTTCACTTATTCATTCTGTTTTTGTCTTTTTTGAATCACTCCTTCCTGGCGCTGCCACTAAATTATACCACCATTTTGAATAAATAAAGAGGACATTCACTCTCTTTTGAAATCTTGGACATCAAATTTTGCAAAGGCTGACAAAAAGAAAAAACACAAAATACACAAACATAATATTTAGACACTTTAAACCTACTGACAGGTTCTTTTAACTTCTAAGGAGGATCAACAATTTTCAATGAGACCTAAATGTCTACTATAGCGACATACCAAACTAAAAATTGTGAAATTCATACAATATTTTCTGATGGCACTTTTCAAGTCACTGGTGAATGATAAGCTCTACTAAATATGGAATAACAGACTTAAAATGTATAATTTTGCTGGTATTTTTTTAATAGCAAGTTTGTTATTTTTGATTTATGATTGCTGGTGTAGAGCACTTTTATCAAGTGTTGCTTTTAAATGTGCTATGCGAATAAATATGACATAGCCGTTACACAAATTCTCCCGAATCAACCCCCGAGCCTGCAATGCTTGCAGACTACATTCAAAGTCTGCAAGCATTGGATCTGCTTGTGACTGTGAAAATGGCAGAGGGAGCATCATGCTTCCAGTTCACAATTCTGGACTTCTTTGTGCTGTTCCATCAGAACAAATATGAATGGTATTGAATGATGCAAATATCACTGAATAGATGACATTGAAGTTTGTGTTTCTAATGTGAAAAATAAAGTTTAGTGAATACTTTTGGAAGGAATTATGTGATTAAAAATAAACAGCACAGCAGTTTAAATGGCATGTGGCTTTTTGTCTTTGCCACGTCATGCTTAGCGTCTCCGTCCTGATTTAGGTTTAATCCTATTTTAGCCTCAAAAACGAGATTGTGTCTGAACACGTCAAGATATTACTCTTTGGCGCTAAAGCTACATCAGGCATAAAGTAACATGACATTTTTCCCAAATAGAGGTCTGAAACCTCAAGAGATAAATGTTGAGTGCTATTTGTTCGTAAACCTGATTGCATAATTTTGTTCTAAAAAAAAAAGCAGTGAATAATAGAGGGATAAATGTTGATTTGTGGTTGCCACTGTTGCCACAGCAGCTGTGTGAATTGGTAGCCTGAAGCAGAAGGTGATGGTGTCTGCAGCCAGTGAAACCGATCTGTCAGTCCCAGTTCCTGTCTGTGGATCTGGTGACAAGGCCACTTTTCCCACCTGCTGCAAATAATAAGAATGTGATGAAGAGCAGAGACAGGCAGCTTCGCCAGTGAGCCTTTTTCCCCCTCCAGTGTGGAAATGGCTGTCACTGTGCGGCAAAAATATCATTGAGAGAAGCTATAGCTTCGTTCCCAGGTGGAAACCTCACATGAGACGATGAACCACCATTACAGTCTTATGGTATTAGCCTGACCTGTCATTAGAAACCAACACGTCCATTAAAGTTACTTGTTGTCCACCTTGAGTTTCTAAACATCTGAAAGGCTGCTTACTGATTTTTTTCTAACTTTTCTACATCAAAGACTGATATGATCTCCCCAGCAATTCATTATTAAATTTTTTTTACCAGTTTCATAATTTAATTAATTAATTAATCTGTACTATAGGCCGTTTAGACTCATTGGATCTGCTTTTTCAACTGATAGAACCATGTCTTTCATATCATGTTCTTTTAAAATTTTTCTCGCACATCCAATATATTTTTCATTAGAAGGGGACCAACTCTATGAAATGAAGGCACACCTCCCTTTAGATGTGAAGGCTTTACTGTTTTAACAAACTCTGTCATTTTGCCTTCATTTTGTGGTTGGTAAATTACAGCAGTGTGGGATTTCTGATTATGGTGTCAGTTCAACAAAAAGAGGAAAAAAATTGCCAAAAGTTGCCAAAGATTAATGAGTAAATTTGGGTTAATTAAGAAAAAACAATACTGCTGCACCTAATTGTCATTAAAATGAAGAATTTCTTGCATGATAAAATTTTTGCACTCAAAA